GTTTACTTCCAGTGGTCCGCTGTGTGTGTGGAAGCTATCCGCTCCCGGCACTGCATGTGGGGTCGTTAAAGTCTTATTTGGGGCGTCAGGCCTCTCCAAAACCCCTTATAATCCCCATCCTTGTCATAGTGTTCACATGGTCTTCTCTCATGGGATGGTTATTGACTCCAGGCTGAACTGATCTTGCAGTTTAGCTGAACTCTACTCTACACTGCCATTGCCACAGCAACTGTTTCCACATCCTCAACCGTGACTGCATCATCATCATCATCGTGTTTTCTGTCAGCGTGTGCGTGCGAGTGCATATGTGTTTGCTCATGGTGCTCCTCTTACGTGTCATAGATCATACAGGTTACACACTTGGAACAACAGCCCAAAGGTGTGAGATATGAGAGATGTAAGAGGCAGAGGAGAGAGATATGGAGTGATGGAAATAGAGGGGGATGAATGGTGACAGTTTGATCGATTTGCAGAAGTGGGGGGTTTTAGACAGAGTGAGAGAGTGAGGGATGGCGAGAGAGAGAGACGTTGAGGAGATTGATGGTGCCCCCTGGGTGGTGTCGTATCTCTCTTTCACTGGCTGGGAGCTGGAGAGGCGTTTGGTTTGGTCATTAGTGATTTTATGGACCTCTGCCACCCACACACTCACATGCACACATAAGCAAGAGTATTGAAAATGGGGCCTGACTGACGTGAACATCGTGACATGAATCACCTATATGAAATTTAAGGAGGTAAAAAGTCTGATAACATCGGATAATATATTTTTTCTATGGTTAAAAATTAAACTCTAGTAGTTTTAGTTAAACACTGCTTTACTGAGTGATTTGATTGTGATGCCTCTCATTAGCAGGGGTCAACATTGTTTACTGCTTGGCTCAAATGGCCACTTTTGTTGGACCTTTTAGTTTTTCTCTTTGTTCTCTTTTTTTTTGACATTTTGAAATATCCACTATTAATAACAAACAAGTACTTTTCATCATCCCATGCAAAGGCCGCTGCCTGTTTTGTTGGAATTCGCCAACTGTAACCACCACAATAGCAAATGTGGCAGCAATGTTCTTATTTAGGTACAGTTTTTAATAAATATTAGTTTTCTAAGCAATACCTGACTACTTTTTGGTACTAAAGAAAATTCTTCAGTGAACTCTAGTCATTACATTGTAAGTTAGCTCATGTTTTTGTAGACCATAACAGCGGTAGCTATAGCAACCTAGTGGCTAGTGTTCTATTGCTTTTATACCACCATCTTTACAGAAGGCAAAACGTTCTTTACTTTGAATATAAGTGCATGTAAAGAGGTTTTATTTCCGTTAATTTTGGAGCATTTCTGTTGGTCCATTCATCATGAAATGTTCACACAATGTAAGGGACAAATCAAAACAAATAAAGATGCTTTTTTTGGATAGTGACAGTATATGGACTGAATGGACTGGGAAGTAAGCAGTAGTTTAAACCATTCAATTGTTTCATTTAAAATAGGAAAGATAGGAAAGACAATCAGTTTCCAGTGATCTGACCCCTTTAACATCAGCCAATTTTATGGGTCAAGCCCCAGTTGAAAGGCCTACACACACATTCAGACCCTCAGAACGCTGAGAGCGCCCAGCCTCCAGCCACAGGGTGACCGTCTGTTTGGTGAGTTGACTGACCAGTGCTTCTGGCTGGGGTTCTGGCCGGCCCGTTTACCCTCTGACTCCAGTAAGTCTCCATCAGCGGTAGCGTACAGAGTGTTACCCTGGGGGAATTGTACTTTGCATGCATGAAGACGGATGTGTTTACAGGCGGCCTGCTGGACTCTCTCATTAGGGCCGACGCTGGGCCGCTGATGGGTCCACTTAAACATGATCAATAGAGCTGCAGCTGACGGCAGCGGCCCCGGGGTCTAACAGCAGTGCTGATATTGATTAGCAAGACACGCTGTGGAGGTGCATGATGATGCGAGACAGGAGCAGGGAGCGTGTGTGTGTGTGTGTGTTTTCCTGGAGCTGAGGTTAATGAATGAGTGGTCTCGGGGGATGCATCACGTGCACACGTTCTCTCTCACTCACAAACGCAATCACATAATTCTCGATTAGCACTGGATGCTCCGCTGATGTTTACCTCTTAAGGACTTGACCTCAGAATACTTTCCGATATTGATTAGATTAGATTATGACTCTTTAGGACTAGGGATGCACCGATATGGGATTTGAAAGCAGATAGCGATATTTCAAAATTTTCATATCTGCTAAAGCTGATACATAAATATTTATGAAAGTGTAGAAAATAGGTTAAAAAAACGTAGAAGTAATGCAACTCGGTAGCCAATAAAAATGTGTATGTGTTTATATACATATAGGCGTATACATAAAAAGACCTACGAAAATATACACACATACACATTTTCGGAATAGCTTATCCTTCTGGGTCACGGGGGGTGGGGGCTGGAGCCTATCCCAGCAGTCATCGGGTGGAAGGTAGGATACACCCTGGACAGGTTTGCCAGTTGATCGCTGTACGGAAATATAGTAAACTAAAATATTTCTTCACCATGTTTTGCACTATTTATGCAAAGTACATTACAAATATGCGCCTTAAAAATACAAATACACAATTTACAAACATTTTATCTTTACATATAATTCACACACATGACCAAAAATGTATATCTGGTTATACCGGTAACAATGGAATTTTGTCAACACCACAGTGTTCCGGTGTTTAAACAATCTAAATAAATAAATAAATAAATAATTCAGTGTAAAACTTGAAAAGTCTTTTAAACTCCTGTGATGATGCTAGCTGGTCTAGCACATCACCAACAGCAACAAGACTAAAAGAAACAAAGGTATGACTAAGCCTTTTATTTTAATTAACGTAAAGAGACAGTTTCCTGGAAAGAGTGACGGCCCGGGTCATTCGGTCCTCTTGTAGGTCTGCGGGCCTGGGAGGGACACAGGGACAGGGGGTGCACAGGTCAACCTGGGGAGAAAGAAAAACAAAACTGTTAATGAACTAATTGCAAATATTGAACACATGAGTGACATTTGTAGAGATATGTACTTGAAGTATATGCTGAATATGTTTGTACTGTGAATGGGAAGGTGACTATTTTGCCTGATGAATACCTGAATTTAATTTTGGTTTGGTTCACTGGGAGGGGCTATAGGTATTTAAGGAGAGGCCCAGTCTAGTCATAGAGGTCTAACTGCTGCAAGTAAGATGGCTAGTCTCGCTGCCGATATGCACCCTGAGTTAGAAAGGGAGATTAAGTGAGAATAGTCAAGGAAGAATAACAAAATGCCTGTTATGCATTTGAGTTTTATTTATTTTTTTGTGTGTAAATAGTTGTGTGCGAGTATCATGGTGATGGATCTTTTATAGTGCTGTTTGGATTTTTGATAACATGTGCAATAAAGAAACGGGGCAAGAGAATCATGTAACCAGCCTTCTGCTCGAACTTCTTGCAAACATGCCAACATGGTAACCTCCAGGCCACTTTGAGCCAACTCTACCACAACTCCAAAACCTAAAAACATAAACTTCACCGTAACTGTGTTTTAAGCAGGTCAACAGAAAACTAACCAGCTAACAAGCTAAAACTACAATAATAAAAGACACACTTCAAGCGCTGCTAGGAAAACCAGACCGGCATAGCTGATCACCATCAAAACTAGCACATGTTTTGTTTTGGATGCTGATATGCTGGTCAATGCAGACCATGGTCTGTTCTGTTTTGTTCAGCAGGGGTTCAGACCTTGAATAGAGTTAAAAAACTGAGACAAACAAAAAAGAATGTTACTTGCAGGCCTTTTACAAGCTTAAAATGTCTGTTTTAAACTAGAGCTAAGGTTAAAATCTCATGCTACTTTACCATGTTAAAACAGATTTCTACATTAGACACTGCTGTGTAATGGCATTACTTTATTAGTGTGAGTGCTTTGTGTCAGCAATAAATAGAATCATCAGGCTAAATTATTTCACTCATGCACGTTCAGGTTTCTGTTCACAGATCAGCTACAAAAATCGGCACACAAGCATTTAAGCATCCCAACAATTATTATTAAAGGATTATTTACAATTGTATTGATTCCCACAGGTTAGGATGTTATTAGCCTGTAATGTATTGTCTGTTTTCACTTCGCCAGAATTTTGTCCACAAGTCACTCAAAGCATCATGGGATGCAGGAATAAGGTAGATTATACCAAGAAAACATTTCCGACACAGATTACATACATGACACCCTGCATCCAGAGAAGCTCCCGTTTAGATAAACGTTCACAGAAAGGTTGTCTCCAAAAACAGGGCTCACTACAGTTATCACCCAGTGATGCTACATAGGAAAATTAAATTATTCTTTGTTTGTATTTTCCTGTACACTTGTGTAAACATCACTTGGTCTTTAACACAGTGCCTGTGGGCCGTTTCTTGTCAGTCGTGATCTCTCGTTTTCTCAGGAAAAGGGCTGCCATTTCCCCCTAATCACATTTAGGCTGCATTAGCTAATAGCCCCTCTGCAAAAGTCTTTTCCCTTCAGACTCAACATGCCCACCCTACTGCTCTGTATTACAAATGCTGCTCCCATACAGAACACTTAGCTCTTAGCTTTATTAGCTGAGATGTAGGGCGACACATTTAAAGTGCTGTACATTGGCTGAAAAGGTCAAGTGAGCATTTATGGGTTTGTACAATGTATTTCAGACAAAAGTTATTCGCTAAGGCTATCACTGTTGATAAAAGGAGTCATTGAGGATTAGTGTTACATGTATTTCTTTTGGGAGAGAAAACCTTTGAAATCTGAAATGCAAAAAACAAGTGAACAAACTGGAAAAACTGGGAAAACTTGAAACCTACATTCTGAATTGGAAGGGAGAAATCTGTTCGTATATCATAGTGAGATTATTGGAGAATGTTAGACGGCTAATGATGCTGCTGCAAAGATCCAGCATTTAACACACTGGGTACAGAATGGCATTAACCCAGTGTGTACTGTTTTGTGTGTGTGCGTGCATTGCAGCCACTATAGTTCTGAATGAGTTGTCCTGGACGGAAGCACTGGATGAGACGTTTAAGAAGAATAAGGAGGAGGACCCCTCACTGCTGTGGCAGGTGTTTGGCAGCGCTACTGGACTGGCCAGATACTTCCCAGGTCAGTTTCACACCCTGTGAGCTCAGACTTTGTGCATTTGTTTGTGTGTGTGTGAGTGTGGTGGTGTTTATGAATTGTGTTCTTTGTAGGGTTCCAGGATGGCACTGTTTTTTTACGCTCTATTGGAACGTTTATCTGGTCCCCATTTTTTTAAACAAACATGTAATTTTTTTATTTTATAAAATTGAGTTCCATTAATAATGTTAATAATGTCGTAACTTGATAAATTACTAACGACACTATATTTTTTAACACAGTTAAAGCATTTTCCTGAATTTGACCCTACAAGTCATTGGTAGTTCAATGCCAGGTGCTCAGCTGCTCATATGCTCTTGCTGTGACTGTGCGATATAGCGCTGTCCGTCACAGACAGTGTATGGGAAGAGCTCCATTAATGGCTTTCTTGATAGTTATTTCAGCTAATGTAATTCCATGAATTAGTTTATCATGGAAGTGCATCAAGTCTAAAGTATTATTTACAAGCAAAACTCACAAAACATAATGCTGTCAGCAATCCACTGATATCAGTATTAGCACCATCTTTGCCTTTGTTTACTTGCATACTTATAAAATATTGGAAGCTTTTATAGTGCTCTGTAAAATGTGCCTGATTCAAATTGTTGTAAGATTAAATAATAATAATAATAAGATTGATTAAAGATTAAAAGCAGGATGGAGTATCAGATAAAAATATGTCATGTGCAAAAGGTTTATTAGAAGGTCTGTTGATCTCAGTAGATGCCTGGTCCACTTTGCTTATTTCATTGTAGCCAAACAATTGGGAAGCTTGTTTGTTTGTTTGTTTTGTAGAGAAGAGTAAAGAGATCAGAGTGTGACACATTGTACTATATGTCAGAATCTCACACTCACAGGTTCCCAGGCATTCTATAGGATAATTACACCCGCTTTCATTTACACACATGTAAACCCACACATGTTCTATGCACACACACAGTAAACACTGAGTCACAATAGAGCTCTCCCGGCTTTCAGAATGTTTACAGGTCACATAACTTGACACGTTTAAAGATCTGATCACTGTAGGTCACCTTGAGACCCTAATTTCGAAAACTTTATAATAAACTCATTTTCTCCTTCAATACTCTCTCCAGCCTCCCCGTGGATGGATACTAGGAAAACTCCCAATAAAATCGACCTGTATGATGTACGGAGGAGGCCATGGTGAGTATAGAGTATGGGTGGGTGTACGTCCATAGGAGGTGTGTATGTATGTGTTTTTGTTCATGTACAGTTGTATACAAAAGTTATGTGTACATTTTGTTGATTTTGTGAAAATAACACATCCACAGTGTCATTCTGCACATTTTAACACGTAATTACTTATATTAGTTATTCATACTTAGTTTATTTGTTCAATTAAACACATTTGAAAGAAAAATATAACATAAAATATGTAATTTTCAGTATGTCACACTACACTATGTAAAATTTGGGGATTTGGAGACCTCGCTGGTGGAAGTGTGTAATTGCACACAGTGTACGTAAGAATGAAAGAACAGGGCGACTCACAGCAGCACACGCACTCCATATTTTAGTGTCTTTTTCTTCCTGACTCAATAATAATGCTTCTTTTAATTGTAACAATAAAAATGCATAGTGTAGTTTTAAATAAATACAATAAATAGAAATTATGTATAGAATAAAATCACTCAACATGTAATTTGACTGATTCAGACTTTTGCGTACGACTGTATTCAGTTTTTTCTATGGCTGGTCCTCACACTGAAAAATGCTTATTTGCAGTTTTTATTTGAAAATGTAAAAAGATTTCAGCATTTACAGTGTGTGTATGTGGGTGAGTGAGAGTGAAGCTGCCCAACAGCTGCCTAACAGTTCAATTCTACAATTCTCTCTCATGTTTAACCACTTCTTCTGACTGTGTATGTGTGCGTTCTGAACCGCAGGTACATTCAAGGTGCAGCCTCACCTAAGGACATGCTGATCTTGGTGGATGCGTGAGTCAAGCCTTTCTTCATTCATGATAGAGATTTTTTCTGTACGAGACTGGCATGTTGAATTTCATGTAACATATTAAATTCTTGTCCCCAATGGTTAGTTGAATCCACATAGTGTGCTATTTTTGCTTGTAAGACTGATTCTAACATACATGTTGTGTTGGACAAAACTTCCTCATCCAGTGTTTCTTCTGAAAACAAGGGTATCAATAATCAAATTGACCCCCCTTTGCTGCAGTAACAGCCTCTACTCTTCTGGGAAGACTTGCCAGATGCTGGAACATTGCCATGAGGCATTCAGCCACAAGAGCATCAGTGAGGTCAGCTACTGATGTTGGATGATCACAAATGTTCTGAATCACAAATGCTACTCCAGCTCATCCCAAAGACACTAGAGAACACAGTAGATGCACCTCAAAGTAGCTGAATTCACTAATTAGAAGGAGTCTGGATACTTTTGGACATATAGTGTATGTACATTATATGGCCAAAAGTATGCAGACATCCCTATGCAGACTAATTATTAAGTGGTAGAATGGGAACATACTGAAGAGCTCAGTGGCTTTAAATGTGACACTCTCATAGGATGTCACCTTTGCCACAAGTCATTTTATGAAATTTTTACCCTGCTAGATCTGCCCCAGTCAACTATAAGTGCCCTTATTGTCAAATGAAAGCTTCCAGAAGCAATAACAGCTCAGCCATGGAGCAGTAGACCACACAAACTTACAGAGCAGGCCTGCTGAGTGCTGAAGCGCCTTGGCATATAAAAATCATCTATCCTCTGTTGCATCATTCACTACAGAGTTCTAAACTGCCTCTGGAAGCAGCATCAGATTGAGAACTGAGTGTCAGGAGCTTCATGAAATGAGTTTCCACGAAGAGTGGAGGCTGTCGTAGCAGCAAAGTGGGGTCAACTCCATATTAATGCCCTTGAATTTGGAATGGGATGTCCAACAAGCTCATATCGGTGTCATGGTCAGGTGTCCACATGCTTTTGGCCATATAGTAAATGTACAGTCTCATGCAAATTACATGTCATATTTAAGTGTGCTCTCTGCATAGGATGTTAACTCATTTTCGCTTAGAATATCAACAAAACGTAATTTAACCGGGAATGTTCCAAGTTTTGCATACAAGATATACGTACAGATGGAGGGAGAGATTGAGTGAGCGAAGAAGGCTGTAAAAAGTGGCACTGTGGCACTATGCCAAGCCTAGATGAGAGGGTGATTAAAAATGAGGGGAAAAAAAAATCAATTTTTACCTTTTAGCTGGGAGCACAATGCAGATATAATTGGCGAATGTGATTGACAGACTGTATCGTTTTAATGTTGTTTATGAGACATCTGATGTGAAGCGCGATGAATATTAACAGCTTATGAATACAGAGGATTTGAACAAGTGGGACAAAAACAGATGAAAAAAGATTTGCCTTGTGAAAGAGCTCCAGATAATTCTACACTGTTTTGCATGCTGTAGGTGTTGATATTGCAGTGTATTAGCATAACTTTGTTCTTATTCTGTGTTAGCATTCTTTACCTGCATCCTTACTCTACTCCACTGTGTGTTTGTTAGCTCATGCCCATTAGCACGCAACATGAAGCAGTGATTAGCAATCCCACTACTAGGAAACTCCTAAGCACTCATTTCTCTCCCAAAACTTCCATCATGGGTTGAGTTTGCTTAGAGATTTTGAACTGAAGGCTTATTATTGAAATTTAATTCCAAGGCAAACAGAAAATCATTAATGATTATGTATACATGCATGCAAACGTTAATGTGTCTGAGACAGTCAGTTTGATAGAAGGCCGACGTTTCTTACTGGGGAAAGCCCATATGTATAAATCGTTAAGATCGTTACTCATTCGGAGTGGTTTAATGTGAAATATTTTAGTGTGGAGAATTGTTCACAGTGGTGGCGATAGGAACCAGACATCTGAAGCGTTCAATGCCTTTAAAAGATCCCCCCCTTTTGTTGCATGAAATGGGTGGTTTCGGATGTTCTGCCTGATGCCTCAAACATTGCTTTACGATAATTTCAAGCGCTGTTTTGCAATAGGTCCAAGATAAAGTTTTGATCTAAAATGTTTTTTTTAATGCACATTCATAGTTCAGGAGTACATGCAGAATGTTCTAGGGCAAAATAGTTCCTGAAGAAAATTCTTTTTTTTCAGATTTATCACTATTTTACCATCATCAACATTACATATAAACCCGTGCAGGTTCGCTGGTTGTTCTGGATAATGAATAAATGGTTATATTTGTGTTGTAGGCATTGTGACTCCTGGTTCCTATGGCCACCACTGTGAAGACATCTGATTCTGTAAATTTCTCTACAGTGAACCATTTCACATCAAAAACACTCTGAATGACCCTGTTTACATTTTAATGACTGAATGTTGCAGAAGTCTGAAAAATCAGACATTGAAACATTGTTGAATCATATAATTAAAATTGCAGCTGTCGTGATTTAAATCAACTGAAAGACAAAATTGCGTCGATGGAACATTGTATCAGTGTTGAAATGATGCACACATTTGAATCAGTTAAATTCAGTGCATCGCTTTTCTCAGAGAAAACAAAGCATGTGCACAGCACACAGTCTCTAATCCTGCTACTGAGTAAAGAATCGCTTGTAAGGTTATCATCGTCTGGGAGCATGAGCACTCTTTTGCATTTAAGCATGTGATGATGAGAGTTATTACATCCCAAAGCCGTTTATGAAGCTTCGAATCCCTTGTTGTATAATTACTCTCGTGGGGAAAGGCCTTGTATGGTGATGGCTTAAGTGGTCCTGTAGAGCCTTTCAAATTAGCTTAATGATAGATGCTGTAATCCCACACACCTCTCTGAATGATCAGACTGTGGTTATTAGCCTATAAAAGTTAGATGTAAAGCCTCAGGACTGTAGTCCTTCAAGGCTTTTTAGTGCCTCTATGTCTGTCCACGTATCCAATGCCGTTTGCTGGCCTTCTGGTATGTCCTGTTAAATGCTTCATTTCAGCTGCTACGTCAGAGACTGGAAGACTGAGGCAATTTTTTTTCTTTCCGTAATAATTTTTTTCCCATAGTAGTAATTTTCCTCTTTAATAAGCAGTACATTTTGTTATAGCAGTATGAATGGACAAAATAAGCTTGATAAGTATGCACTTATTATTTTCAATAATTCAATATGAACCACTGATCTCCAGTGAGCACTGTAGCGCAGTGTGTTCTACAGCGCTAAGGTTACTGATATTACTGATATCGCAGGCATCAGCACTCTGTTTTGCTTGGAAATGATACTTCAGACTCGATGTACTTCAGTGATAAACAAATTCATAGTGAGTCAGAAGCTCAAAATCACTTGGGATTTATTAAAGGGCCCATATCCACCATTTTTCTCGTAGTTTATTTTTGTCCCTTATAGCTTTAGTGTGGGTTTATGTACCAAAAACAGTCATAGTTCTTTTTTACATGACCATTTTCCAACCTTTCCAAACAGGCTGTTTTTGTTACTGTGCCTTTAAGACTGATAGATGTAAATAATCTCTGTTCTGATTGGCTGTCCTGTATTGTGCCTCATACAAAAAGCAGTCTGGACTGAAACACATCTTAGTAGGAGGGACTAAACTGCTGTAGGCTGAATAGGTGGATATATGTAAATGCTTTGTTTTATCATGAAACAATGAATTAAAAACTGGCTGTTTTGCAGCTTATTTTTCATTTATGAACTAAATGGACTGGGGAGTGAGCGGTATGTTTTGAGACGTCAACAGTACTATACACCAATCAGGCATAACATTATGACCACCTCCTTGTTTCTACGCTCATTGTCCATTTTATCAGCTCCACTTACTATATAGGTGCACTTTGTAGTTCTACAGTTACAGACTGTAGTCCATCTGTTTCTCTGCATACTTTGTAGCCCCCTTTCACCCTGTTCTTCAGTGGTCAGGACCCCCATGGACCCTCACAGAGCAGGTACTATTTGGGTGGTGGATCATTCTCAGCACTGCAGTAACACTGACGTGGTGGTGGTGTGTTGGTGTGTGTTGCGCTGGTCTGAGTGGATCAGACACAGCAGTGCTGCTGGAGTTTTTAAACACCTCAGTGTCACTGCTGGACTGAGAATAGTCCACCAACCAAAAATGTCCAGCCAACAGTGTCCTGTGGGCAGCGTCCTGTGACCACTGATGAAGGACTAGAGGATGACCAACACAAACTGTGCAGCAGCAGATGAGCTACTGTCTCTGACTTTACATCTACAAGGTGAACTGACAAGATAGGAGTGTCTAATAGAGTGGACAGTGAGTGGACACAGTGTTTAAAAACTCCAGCAGCACTGCTGTGTCTGATCCACTCGTACCAGCACAACACACACTAACACACCACCACCATGTCAGTGTTACTGCAGTGCTGAGAATGATCCACCACCCAAATAGTACCTGCTCTGTGAGGGTCCATGGGGGTCCTGACCACTGAAGAACAGGGTAAAAGGGGTCTAACAAAGTACACAGAGAAACAGATGGACTACAGTCTGTAACTGTAGAACTACAAAGTGCACCTATATAGTAAGTGGAGCTGATAAAATGGACAATGAGCGTAGAAACAAGGAGGTGGTCATAATGTTATGCCTGATCAGTGTATTAATCTGTTTTTTCATAAAATGCAAGGAAAAGTTGGTTTTCAATTATATGACCTCTTTAAAAGAGCCCCCACTTACTGTATAAAAGCTGCATTTGAATGAGAGGACTAAAGCTATGGAGTCATAGCAACAGGGCACATGAACAGCTCAGCTTCAGGCTGGAACTATGGATAGTTTGAAAGGTCAAATTAGGAAAATTTGTTAGTACTAAAATAAATAGTAGTGTCCATAATGTTTTGCAATAAATTATTAATGCCACTAATTATTAATTAACTAATTAACTCACCATAAATTGACACCACTAATTCCAAGTAGTTTTGCAGTTTCTTTTGGTCTGTTCTGGTTCTGTCATAACATTTTCACACAGTGCAGAGAGCAGCCGTCGCTTTCAATAGATGCAAAATAAAATATGACAGAAAAGAAGTTAATGCATGTTAATACATGTTAGTAGTGGTCTGTGTATAAACTGCCACAAGCATGAAATCATTTTGACTGTACTAGATTAAGTTCTGAACAGAACTGTGTTGTTCTCTGCAGGAGTGGGAGCGTGTCCGGATTGACGCTAAAGCTAATCCGCACTTCTGTTAGCGAGATGCTGGAGACACTCTCTGATGATGATTACGTCAATGTAGTTTCTGTGAGTATCTACAAAAAGGCAGTTGCCCCTCCCTTTCTCTCTCTGTCTCTCTCTCTTTCTCTCACTCTCTCTCTCTCTCTCTCTCTCTCTCTCTCTCTCTCCTTCTTACATACACTCAGTAACTTTGTTGCTTCCCGCCCTTGGACACAGGACGTTGTTCGCTGGATGTTTTTGGTGGACTATTCTCAGTCCAGCACTGACACTAAGCTGTTTAAATACTCCAGTAACACTACTGTATGTGATCTACACTGTGCCACTATGCATTTCACTAACATGTCAGTGTCACTACAGTGCTGAGCATGATCCACTACCCACTCTGTAACTGTACAACCTTGTTTCTAGAAAAGTTGGGACGCTGCACAAAATGTACATAAAAATAGAGTGCAATGATGTGCAAATCATTTAAACCCTATATTTAATAAAAGAAATAGTACAGAGACAACATATCAAATGTTGAAATTGAGAAATTTTATTGTTTTGAAAAATATATGCTTATTTTGAATTTGATACCAGCAACACGTTCCAAAAAAGTGGAATGAACTGTGTTCACAGAGCGTGGTTTTTGGAAGTGCAGAATCATGTCTGTTTTTAATGCAGTGCTGCCTGAGGGCCCGAAGATCATGGCCAGCCAGTATTGGTTTTTAGCCTTGTCTGTTGAATGAAAAGATTTCTCTGGATTCTCTCAATCTTTTAAAGATATTATGTACTTTAGATGATGAAATTCCCAGGTTCTTTGCAATTTTACGCTGTGAAACATAATTCCTGAATTCTTACATTATTAGCCTTTGTCAGTTGGTAGTTATTTTCAGTTGGTAGTTATTTTCATAAAATACGCTTGAGTCATTATCTTTCAATATATGAGGTGGCTTACTAAGTAAGATCAATTTCGACCATCTGTATAAATAAGGTAGGTGTACCTAATAAAGTGGCCAGTGTGTGTACACCTTTAACATTTCTTGGAAAAAAGCCTGTGTGACTGAGCTTGTTTGGATGCAGTGGAGTATGTAAGCGTGTGTTTACACCGAGGCCCATGGTGAGGTGAGACTGTTCGTGAATGATAAACTGTGGCCGAGCTCTCGTTCATCCTCTTGAGATGCTGAGTTTAATGTGGAGATCCTGCAGAGTCGTATAAAGCAAAATTGAATCTTGGAGAGTAACAGAGCTCTCTGGAGTTCTCTAAGCTAGACGAGTTGTGGGGAAGAAGAAACGTTCACTTATTACACTTCTCTAAAAAAACATCAGTCTGATCTGTTTAAATTGGGCTTTGGTGAAATGCGGGTACAGAAACTGTGAGGTATTAATATGTTATTGTCATTTCTCTTTCCCAAGTGTCTCATATATCAATGTAAAGCTGCCACTAGATCTTTTCAGATGGGATTGCAGTACAGTGTAATTCAGCCATTAAGTACAAGTTATTCATTTTTCAGTAGATATTTCTGAGGAGATTAGATATAAGATACTCCATGTGCATAGGAAAGGAAAGGTCAAAGGAAAATAAGTGAAAAATCAGTTTCCAAAACTAGAGTTCAAAAAATTATGAAAGCATATGGAGAAAATGTGAATCTTAACAACAGTGCAGGACCTGGGAGACCATCAAACCTGTCACCATCAGATAAACAGCACTTAAAGTTTTCATCTTTGAGAGAAGGGAGAAAATCAAGCTCAACATGATGAGTATGAAAGGATGTGTAGCTGTCAGGAAGCCCTTGTTGAGGAAAGCAAATAGATCAAAAAGAAGAAAATTTGCAGATTAAACAAAGGAGCTGCTGATGTTCTCAGAACAGTGGACTGACCACCCCAGAGTCCAGACCTTCATATCACTGAATGTGTTTGGGATTACTTTAGTTGGTGTGAAGCAGAAAATGCAACCAAGACTGAACTTTGGAGGTGTAGAAAAATAAGCCTGTAGATTGAAAGAGAGCTTCCTGAAAAGAAGAGAAGCTGTAATAAAGCCAACGAGTAGACACAGTAGAAAAATTGATAATATATAATTACTATGTTTTAAATTGAAAACTTGTATTAAGTGACTTTTTTGACTGGAAAGTAAAAAAATGAAAATGAGCTCTTGCACAGTACTGTATATCAGCTAAAAAAGGTTGTGTGTAGCGTTGTCGCCACACAGCAAAAAGGCCTGGGTTCGATTCCCCCTCCGGGCAACCCAGGTCCTTTCTGTGTGGAGTTTACATGTTGTCCCTGTGTCTGCATGTGTTTTCTCTGGTTTCATCCCACAGTCTAAAGACATGCAGTCAGGCATCCTTTTCACTGACTTGGACTTTACACTAAAATCCTTTAGCTTTGAGTGACTCTTTACCTTAATTATGTCTATTTTATTAAGTTTATGTTTTTTTCCATTTTGTTACTATTAAAACAATCATAACACTACTGAAACTTTATCAATATGTCACTCTGCCTGCTCTAATATGGCTAAAATAAGGTTCTACTTATGGACTAAAACTCTTTGTGTTTTGGTAGTGACATGAAAATGTGCGGCAGCATTTTTGAATAAATGTATGTTTTTTGGTTTTTTTACATCTTTCTACTTCACTTCAAAAAAATCAGGAAGATCTTTTAAAAAATAACATTGAAAATTTAAAAGCACTTTTTTAAAGTACACTATAAATGATGATTTTGCATATATTTAGTTTATTACTATCTCTGTGAATGTCTTTAAATAAATCATAACATAAACCTTGTAAATATGTGAGGGCTGAATACTTTTTTTATTGTGCGACCACAGTTGGAACTAAATCAGTAGAATGGTTCATATATACTTACAAAATTAAAAAAGTATACTATGAACAAGTGCTCACTCTGAGGTACATTTGAGGTCTACTTTTTGGGAATTTACTGGAATCATTTCATTTCATTTGCTGAGTTATTGACAGGAATAAACAGAGGCTAGGCATATGAGTTTTGATGAATATGAGTGGTCTGTTCCACTATGATTTCTCTTTCCATTCCTCTGATTAATTTTAGGCTGTATTTTATGCTGCAAGGCCAGCAGTGTGACCCTGGCTCAATGCTAATAAAATCAGTCAATACTGTCGTAAGTGTATCGATGGCACTGAGCCAAAGGACTTTTACTTGAACTAATGAAGTCATTTATCAAAGTGTTGTGGAATACCTTCTTAACAGCAGGGTGAGGGTATGTGAGTGTGTATCAGCCATCAGCCATTTGTTAACCACTCACTTTCCCCACCCCCACCCCTCTGTCCCATCAGTGAGATTACCCACAGTCCTTAGCTGTGGGAGTGTGTGCCGTGGGGCTGAGAGAGAATGTTAAGTCTGTCTATATCACTGTGAGTCACATGATCATGAGTGCTTAGATTAGACATAATTAGACTTTCTTTTTATAGGACAGTATGTTGTACAGGCAGCTGTCATTGATAAGACTCAGAGAGAAAACCATGTGTACGCAAAGATTTGTGTGTGCACACAGAGATGCGCTCAAAAGTTTAAGATCATTCCTTTTAATAAAATTTAATGTTGCAGATAAATGTATAGAATTATCCTGTTGTAATGCTGCTACTCTACAGATTTCAGCTAAAGCCCTTTTTAAGCTGGACTAGTTTTACCTAGCTAGGGGCTGTAATTTGAATGATTACTGACGAGATCTGTGATTTTAATCCAGCACAAATTTGCCATGTTTGTAGTTTTACTTTTTGAAGCCTGAAGGCAAGGCTACAGTTTAAATGGAGTTTGATTTGACCTAATTTCTTAACCTTCAAGTTCAAGACTTCTAAAATCCACAACAATTCACTGTATATTCCCTCCGTATGCTATGATTATGCACCATCACTTGGAATTGCTGTTGATAATGGGCGTCACCCAACACTGAAAGGAGATCTGAAGCCTTCTCCCTCATCCAGTCACACGTTTTTTGTGGCAACATATTTAACATTTAGCCACACAATGTATTGTTACTCTTCAGAAGTGTGGCGCCTGTCACATAACGTTCATGTAGATGTTTGCATGATGATTTTTGCATCCGGGCTATTTGAGGTAATTTGAGAAAATTACACAGATCATTTATTCTGTATGAACTGGCCAATCAAATCATGCACAAATTAGATTACCGGACCTTCTCTGGTGAAACTAATCCAGCTCAAATAGGGTTAATGAGTAGTAAGCTGTAAAAAATAAGAAATGTTAGATGTTTACATTTACCCTGATTTCGATATCACCAGATTCTACAGCAGCAAACTGATTTGACTTTGGAAGTAAACTCTTTCTCTCTTTCTCGTAATTCTCTGAAATACTACAATTTGACTGGCTATATATCTAAAATTAACTTGGAGTTTAATGCTGAAGGGAGCAAATATTAACAGCTCTGGAATGTGAAAAGAAATATGTGTCCCATGTATGATTTCTTTCTTTAATAGTTTTCGAACGATGGGTGCAAAATGTTAAAATATGTTTTCATGTGAAATTAATGGCTTTTCAACTTATAGTACCTGTCGATTTCTGTGGGATGCTGAGAGCACTGAAAGCTGAGGGACCACCTGCAAATTACGTCCAAGCACAAGGCACTAATATGAAACCTTATCAAGCAGTACAGGCCTTTTAGTAGCTAGAACACAAATGATGGGCAGTCAGAGTTTTCAGAATGGCCTCTGTTTGTAATTATTGTGATGAGGGGTATTAAAAGTAGGTTTGTACCAGATTGATCCTTTGGCTTTGGTACAGTAAACAACAGATTTTTTAACAAATAAGGCGGAATCCCAAGGGAGCAGTTTAGTTTTTGTCTGTATTACATTTGCATGTTGAACTCTGTGAACTGAACTGGATCACTCTACAGTGATTACTTGTTTCTCTGTGCTTTTAGTCTCAGTGTACCGAAATATTTAATTTTCTTGTTAAAACCACTCATTTTTACCAGGGGAGGTTTTTCACTGCTCCTAAGTATACATGTCTAAACTCAGACAAATGATACTGTACACATTTTTCATCTTCCTGTTTGAAATATTTCCACAAATGACTCCACTTAGATTTGGTTGTTTTGTTAAATGTGAAATCAGTGACCGTTTGTGTGAGGAACAACATTTAAGTCACTTATAATCTGTCGTTATATTTTAGAAAACAGTGCAGTGTTCCTGTCTGCCTTGTGTTAAATTCTTGTTGAAGAAGTCATGCTGAAATTATTTTGCTGTTGTCTTTCTTTCATTATACAATGTTAAACAGTCAAGTAATCCAACAGAAAGTACTCAGATTCCATTACTTTAATATAGTAATTCTTTGGATTAGGTTACAATTCCATTTGAACAGTAATTCTGTACCAGAGTACATTTTTAAATGTAAGCCTGCCTGATTTACACAGTGTTTTTAATCACAAATATGATCGCTGTACAGTCCTGTCTAATCTGACTGATGTATCAAGCTACCTGTCAGCTGCCAAATTGAACTAAGCAGCAGAAAAGCTAGTTTAGTTAACTGATCTTATCTATCTAAAATTATTTGTTATTTCTCATAATAAAATGGGTTATTAGCAACCCTAATAAAGATTAGCTTCAGACTAAGCACACATCTGCCTGTTCACAGTTTGGACACTGAACTGTGAGTGTGGTCGTCCACACAGTTTAACTCTCTGATCAGACTGCTTTAAACACAGGGGCACCTCAGGGATGTGTTTTATCACCATTATTATTTCTTTGTACACTGATGAGATGGAGCTGCAAAAGAGTAGTTTTAAGGTATTGAAATATGCGGATGACATATAAGAATTTATAGCATGCTTTATAAGAATTAAGATGTTTCTGGCTACTGATCATGCCGCTAGTCCATCGCAGGGTGGGTTTGTAATAATATTTTGGAAAAATTGTACATTAGCCTGATAGAGAGCATTGTTGTGTTTAGTATTTCTGTATGCTGTGGACAACATCAGTAAACAACAATAAATTGACAAGGATCATTAAGATGGCAGAGAAAATATTAGGATGCCGGCAAAAGTCATTTGATGATCTCTATAACAGCTGAAGAAGACTGTGATAATTATTAATGACCCAAAGCATCGTCTGAATCCTGAGCTTAAGCTGTTCCCGTTCGTGCAGCACTACAGAGTACCCCTGATAAATAAACAGATCTGTAAGACGTCTTTTTTATTAGTGCGATCAAGCTTGGCAACAAACTTTATTAATTCACACTAACGTACATCTTAGTCTTGAGTGTTTCTTGTTCATTGTATGTGTTGTTTACCTTTTTTCTACAATAAAGTTCTATTCTATTCTGTTTATATATATATATATCATTGCTGTCAGAACAGAACAAACAAAACCTCGTATCTCCAAAATGATAACTTTACAGGCAGAAGAAACATTACTTTTAAAGTAAGTCAGTGGAACTAGAATTTTTTCCAAGTAATTTGGGCTGTTTCCTTTTGTCCATTCATCATGAAGTTTACACACATGTCAAAAACCTGTCAAAAACTGAAAAAACGACAAATGGAGATAGAAGGTTTTGTTCTGATAAAAGCAATATATATACCTATATGTCGTGCTTTTTTAGAAATAAGAAATTTCTGTTACCTTTTATTGTATTTATGTTTATGTGCATCTATTGTAATTATGTTTTTTTACAAGCAGAAGTTCCCATATACATTTACATGAATCTCAGAACTGTTTAGCATTTGGTTTAATAACTGTGTACATTTGAGCTCCACAATCTTGTGCAAAAGCCTCTGATGAGTAGATCAGATCTAACCAACAGTCTTCTGAGCACATACTTCAGTGGAAGGGATAAGACAAAAAAATTGATATTTTCATACAAAGGCCTTAACATTGTCAGTGCCATCATAACTTCTTTTAAAAGTTGCTCCTAATTTTTCAAAATTCTACATCTTTCTGTTGTTTATTTACAGGTGTAAGCAGTGAATTTATCCACCCACTGCACTGAGCACTTAGCTGTATTGCTGTGAAAGTGTAATGCTTTGTTGTGATCACTACCCTAATCATTGTTGTTCTTCTGTTGTCTCAGTTCAGTGCAGAGGCCCAGCCAGTAGCCTGCTTCAATAACCTCGTCCAGGCCAACGTTCGCAACAAGAAGATCCTAAAGAAAGCAGTGCAGAACATCACAGCCAATGGTACCACCGACTACAAGAAAGGCTTCAGGATGGCCTTTGATCAGCTCTCTTTGGTCTGTGTTCCTTCACTCACATTACACCTGCAGTGCTTAATACTGGAAAACTGCTCTGTTAATTTGATGTATTTCAGTCTCACACAGCTCAGAAAGTTTGAGGACACCTGTCTTTTCCTTTTTTTCTTTCTTAGTTTACAATAGCTTTTTCATTTTAAAAGACTAAGCAGATTTATTGTGAGAAGAACAGGATCAGCTGTGTAGGTATTTGACAATACTAAGTTGTTATTTGTAATGCAATACCCTACAAATTTAGGCCACATTTAACCATAGTTTGGAAAAGAAAACTGTCAAATCATTATTTACACAAAACTTACTTTTCTTACTAGGAGGAAACATTGATAAGCATGAAACTGAGTTGTAAAATATACACAAAGGATACTAAATAGTTGTTTTATGTTACTCAAACTTTGCAGTTTGCAGGTTATTATTTCTTACATAATTGGCTGGCTCATATGGTGATAATACAATATAAGAGAGAACTATATTTTGAAGTGACTGCAATCTCAGTTACATTTTCAATAGATTTGTTCCTTGTTATAGGAGATGACAGTACACTTAACATTCACTTTGTCTCTATAGTACTTCCTCTAAGTGGCCACTTTATGAGCTTCATCTACGTAATATAGTACAGTGCAAAATTAGAGCACCATTCATTTATTTAATTTTTGGTCAAAAGTTATTCGTTTTTCCATTCAGAAAAAAGAATAGGAAACGTATGTAACAGAAAATGACTCAGAAGCCTCCAACAGTAAGTATAATATCCGATATGTCCGTGTTTAATATGTGCACGCATCTACCCAAACTCACCTCAGCTGCCGTGCAAATTTCTTTCTCATGTGCATCTAAAACGGCCAAAGGAGATATTTCTCAGGAGATTAGATATAAGATAATCCACTTGTGTGAGGAAGGTGAAAGTCAAAGGAAAAGAAGTGAAAAAAGTAATTTTGGTTTACTTTTATCGTGAGAGATCCAACATGTAAGACTAAACTTTGGAGGAGTGGGAAAATATCACTGCTGATTTTTGAAAAACTGAAAGCAAGTCTCCTGAAAAAAATGAAAACTGTAATAAAGGCAAAGAGGGGACACTAAACACTGAAACCTTTGACAGTATATTTAGCTGTCAGGAATCCTATGTAATTTCTGTTTTCTGCTTTTTCCTGATGCTGAGAAATTAAAAACTAATAGCCACCCTGCCTAGAGATTAAATAAGGAAAGGCTGGTCTCTGACTTTTGCACATTACTATAAGTCCGGTTCATAAGTGCACAATTACTGACTGTAATACATCAGTTGTTATGCACAGTTTGTCGGTTACGCACTGTTTGTCAGTTTCACTTTCACTGAAGAGGAAAAGTGAAAATCAAACATTAGTCTGAAAATTTCAATAGAAGGTGAGGTGTTCCCAAACTTTTGATGAGAAGTGTGCTCACAGGGCTGGACTATACTGTAGTTTACAGTTCAGTCCGAAGATAACAACAGAAAAGGGGAAAGCTAGTCATAGCCTGTCATTCCTGTGGCAGATCCAGTCAGGTAGATAAAAGAGTAGATAGTGCCATCTGCTGGCTGCTTAATGGCTTCATTACTGAACTTTGGCCTTCAGCAGTGATTCTCAACCCTAGTCTTCAAGTACTCCCTTTCCTATGAGTTTTTGTGTTTTTTCTTGTCCAACACTCTTGATCCAGGTAATCAGCTAATTAAAGGGGAATTCCAGTAATTTTTCAAAATTTCTGCATTTTTCTATCTGTGAGATTTCATTCGGAGTGGTTTTACGTGAAAGAGAAGCTTGCAGATATGGATTTGTTTTTACAGTGGTGGTGATAGGAAACAGGGTTTCAATACCCACACCACAGATATAGCTGCTTGATTTACTACCCGAAATTACCAGTTAATCTTGACGTCTTCTGAGTTTTAACAAGGAATGTTGAGAAAAGTATAACAGGGGTATATAAGTTTTCTTTGAAGACTACTTTGCCTTGAATTATATACCACTGTAAACAATTCTGACTCAAATCTCTCTAGAAAGGAGCGTTTCACATCAAACCACTCAGAATGACTGTTTATATCTTAATGAACTGAATTCTACAGAAAGTCTGAAAAAAATGCTGATTAAGTAGGTTTGTTACAGCAGAAAACACTAAAACATGCAGAGCAGGGAGTTTTCCAGGACCATGGTTCTACAATGTTATTTGGGATTTAAATTGTGGGAATAAAAAATGGTTGATGTGATCTGATGTCAGTGCTCAGAAACAGCATTTTATTCAATTTTGCTGATGAAATGTCTGTCTGTGTGTGTTATAGTTGAATGTGTCAAGGGCAAACTGCAATAAAATCATCATGCTCTTTACGGATGGAGGAGAAGACAGAGCGTCTGAGATCTTTGATGAGTTCAATCGTGATCGAAAGGTGAGTAAGTGCAACACACATGCACACACACCCAGGTATAAACACACCTTGATGGATAACAGCTCTAATGTCCAGTTACGTTTAAACCAATTCAGGTCCGCATCTTCACTTTCTCCGTGGGCCAACACAATTATGATAAGGGACCTATCAAGTGGATGGCCTGCTCAAATAAAGGTAAAAGAGTTTAGATTTAGAATGATAAATGACATAGACTTATTTGCAAACTTCAGTTGGGGCAGTATGTGAATTGCAAAGAAAAACAGAAAGCAGTGATTTGTTAATCCACTTTGACTTGTATTTTAACAACACCAGCACAAAAACAAGATATTTAATGTTTTATCTTATCAACTTCATTGTTTTTTGTAAATATGCACTCATTCCGAAATTGACGCCAGTAACACTTTCCAAGTAATTTGGGACAGGAGCAGTTTAAGACTGGAAACATTGTGAAATGTTGAAAAAACTGGGGATGTTATTATCCTCGAGTATAAAAAGAGCATCCAGTAAAGACAGAGTCCTTTATGAGCAAGGATATGTCAAGAAAAAATGTATCAGCAAAAATCCAACAGCATTCCTTAACAGAGGTATTTCACCCTCTACGGTGCATAATGTCATCAAAAGATTCAGGGGGTCCAGAGAAATGTCTGTCTGCAAAGGGCAAGAATGAATGCCCCTGATGTTCAAACTCTCAGATGACACTGCATTAAAAAACAACGTTTCTGTGACTGATATCACCACATGGGCTTAGGGAATACTTTGACCAACCGTCGTAAATAAACAGTTCTGTTGCTTCCACAATGCAAGTTAAGACTGTACTATGCACAGCAGAAGCCATACATCAACAACATCGAGAAACACAGCCTTCTCTGGGCTCGAGCTCATCTGAAATACACAGTGGAAGCGTGTATTGTGGTCTGATGTATTAACGTTTCAGATTGTTTATTTCAGATTGTTTATCTGTGAAAGCACCATTAATGCTGAACACATTTTGGAGCAACATATGCTGCCTTTTAGATGCCGTCTTTCTCAGGGCCGTCCATGCTTATTACAGCATGGCAACGGCAAGAAACATTCTGCATGTTACAGCAGCATGACTGTGTAATAAGAGAGTGCGGCTGCTAGACTGGCCTGTGTGCTATTAAAAATGTGGCGCATTATGAAGTGCAAAATATGATTACGAAGGCCCTGTAGGGTTTCAAAAAAAGAAAACAAAACAAAGTTCATAAGGTAAAACATCAAATCATTTCTCTATGTTTTTGAACTGTACAATACAGGTGAATATACAGAATTTACTGATCACTGCTTTCTGTTTTTATTAGCATTTCACTTTCCCATTTTTTTTGGAAATGAGGTTTGAGTAATGATACAATAATGATATAGTCCTCACTGTTACTAATCAGTTCTTAAAGCAATCTTACACTGTTAGATATGATCTAGCAGTATCATCATTTGTCATATCATGAAATGGGATATGTATGTCATTTTTCTCAAGGCTATTACTATGAGATTCCCATCTATTGGAGCCATCAGGATCAACACACAGGTAAGTCTTACCAGCTGAGCCAGTACTAAACTGGGCTGAACACAATGCCTTCCTTTAGGGAATTTATTTTTTGATTACAATGTCTGACCCCATTGTTTTAGACATGGAATAGAGGACTGTGTTGCCACTGCACTGGCTGAATTAGATGCAACCTGATGCTTGTACCGCCTGTAGAAGTTTTTCTATGTCTCCAAATGTTTCTTTTTTTTTGTTTCTTTTTTTTTTGATCTGGTGATCTTTTGAGTATTTCCTGGATGTCTTGCTAGCCTTTAAAAGGAAACAGAGCATACAGTAACGTAATTAAAGGAATAACTCATTTATACATGCTTATGTTGCTGACAGTGAATGGCCATCAATCACTATGATGTCACTTTCATAATGCTAATTATTGACTGTTCATTTTCATTCATTTGTTAGCAATGTTAGCATTTGTAGCTGAACCATTCCTCCAATATCTAGGAGTACCTGGATGTGTTGGGCAGACCCATGGTGAAAGCTGATGAGGAAGCCAAGAAAGTGCAGTGGACGAAACGTCTACCAGGATGCGCTGGTACGTCTTCTTTTTTGCCTGGACTGATCTGTGTAATTAGCTGAGTGTTATGGACAATACGACAATGAAGCCTCATATTGCTGCAAAAATTCATTTGGTGATCTTTTGAGTATTTAATGGATGTTGTGCTAGCCTTTAATATAAAAAAGCAGCATTAAAGCAACGTAATTAAAGGAAGAACTCACTGCCAGGATGTGCTGGTAAGCCCTGCTCTGTTGTTGTGTGATAGGAGCTTGGCCTGGTCATCACAGGAACGCTGCCAGTGTTTAACAAGACTGGCAAGACAAGCGGCAAGGACAAGAGCAAGGTAAAGTACAGAGCTGTGTTTGCATGTGTTTCAGTTTGAATTTCACAGCTGAAGCTCAACAGGATAATTGAGCCTATTTGTAAATAATAGATTAAACTGTACTCCTGAATTCAGTTCATTTCTTGAGCTGATTGACTTCAGAGCCAAACCCTGTGTGTATACACAGCCAAGCCTGTCTGACAAAAGCTGATAGGTTTTGTAATGAATAAGCAACATTAGGGTAGAATTTATATGGATGAAGTCATTAGATAAGTTGCTCGCATATGACTGGAGCAAGCACTGTCCAGCACAGTCACACTGCCCACTGCTAACATTACTGATGTCACTGGTAATGCAGGCATCGGCACTATATTTTGCTGGTAAATGACATTTCAGACTCAGCGCACTTCAGCGATATACTAATTCACAGCATTGCAGTAGCTCCACAGTCACTGAGTCATAGCAACACACAGTGCACAAGCTGCTGGGCTTCAAGTTGGATCTACAGATGGTTCAAAGGGTCAGACTAAAAGTACCTTAACGGCGTTAACAATTTGTTGTGTTAACTTTGTATTTGACACCATTAGTAATGACACAATTACATGCTGAATAGCATGGTTAGGTACATGTAATTAGATTTACATTTCATTTATATTTTGTATCAACAGATTTATGTCACTGTTTTTGTTTTTCATGTCAAGTAATGACAAACATTGCGATCATATACTTCCCCCAAAACAAGACTGTACATACAAAAATAACTTCCATCAAATTAATCGTGTTTTTAACTTCAAACCTCTAGCCACATATATTTTACTGTTTATTGGACTGTTTACAACACCAGCTCAGTTGTCGCATTTCTGCATATATTTTGGGATTGCAGTGAGATTCACAAGTTCTGGAAGTATATGTTTATCCACATTGCCAGATGTGCTTAAAATTCCTATTAACAAAAATCCTTGTGTCTGTTTACTAAGTGATGATAACTCTTTCTCCTTCACATTAGCTCAAAAACGACTAATCTTGGCTGGTCTAACCGCTGCTACAAAGACTATTATACATGGTTCAATCCAAAAATACGACTTTCGCAACACTGGCCATTTTCTGTTGTGATATTATCTCCCTTGAATAGACTGCGGTGATAAATAAAGCTATATCAGCTACAGTCTTTGTGTGGGATGCAGTTGCATCAGATCTTAAGGGTTTAATGTTAGTCCATTAGATGACTGCCCTTAAAACTGACCCTGTACTTATTTTTCGCAGCTGGTGTGACAGTGACTGTAATTGTGCTTTTATTGGCTGTAATTTTGACTGTACTTATTCATGTTTGTCTGCATTAGAGAGGAATGTAAGCTACATCATGATATTAAAAACTGATCACAGAAAAACTTCTAGCTATGAATAAACACATGGTTTGAAAGTTTAGAATCTGTACTTTTGATAGATTCACTGAAAATTACTTCAAGCTTTTGTTATGGTCAGTGATAGAGCAGCTTCTAAGGGCTGACTGAACGTAACTTCCTGTGAATATGCATTTGTGAACCTGTGTGCTCACACTATGAATTCTGTTGATACTGTGTAAACGTATCTCTCTTTTATGCAGCCGGGTAGTGAAAATCAGCTGATCCTGGGTGTGATGGCCATCGATGTGTCTCTGGACGACATCAAGAGACTGACTCCACGCTTCACTGTATGTTCAGGGTTTATCTTATACTCTAGTTATGCGTCTCTGTGAAATACTGCTCGGTTATGAAACTCACTGTAAAAACAACGCAGACCACGACTGTTACTACTGCTGGGTTCTCCTCACAGTCATCTGGCCTACATGTGTATAGAGATGTATTATGCATCATTACATTTTCCTGTATTCTATGATGTCCTATTTGATACAAATCTCAGAAAGCCGTAATCTCTCTCCCCTCACTCTGAAAGCTCGGCCCAAATGGATATTACTTTGCCATCGACCCGAATGGATACGTGCTGCTTCATCCCAATCTTCTGCCAGAGGTACTAGAAATATCTCTCTCCCCCTCTCTCTTTCTTTCTCTTTCTCCCTCCACTCTCTCTCTGTCTCTTGCACTCTCTCTCTGTTTCTCCATCTCTTTCTCTCTCTTTTTCTCGCTCTGTCTCTCTCTATCTCCTGTCTCTTTCTTGCTCTCTCTTTTTCTCCATTGCCTCTCTCTCTCTATTTCCTTCTTCTCTCTCTTTCTTTCTCTATCTCTCCCTCTTTCTCCATCTACTCCCTCTCTCGGTCTCGCTCTCTCCATCTCCATCTCCTCTCTCTCTCTCTCTCTGTCTTGCTCTCTCTCTGTTTCTCCATTTTCTCCCTCTTTTTCTCTTTCCCCGTCTTCTATTTCTGTCTTGCTCTCTCTCTTTCTCCATCTCTTCTCTCTCTCTCTTTTTCTATCTCTGCTCTCTCCCTCTTTCCCTCTTTCTCCGTCTTCTCCTTCTCTCTGTCTCACTCTCTTTCCTTCTCCATCTCATCTCTCTCTCGTTCTCTCTCTCTCTCTTTCTTTCTCCTTCTCCTCTCTCTCTTTCTCTGTCTCTTCTTTCTCGCTTTCCCTTTCTCTCTCTCTTTCTCCATCTACTCCATCTCTCTGTCTTGCTCTCTCTTTCTCCATCTCCTCTCTCTCCATCTTTCTCTCTTTTTCCGTCTTCCCCTTCTCTCTCTCACTCTGTCCCTTTCTTTTTCTGTCTTCCCCATCTCCCCTTTCTGTCTGTCTCCCTCTCTCTCCTCTTTCTCTTTTTATCTCTCTCTCTCTTTCTCTCTATCTCTCTCCTCCCCCTCTCTGTCTGTCTCTCTCACCTCAATCTCTGTCTCCCTCTCTCTCCTCTTTCTTTTTCTGTCCTTCTCCATCTCCTCTCTCTAAGCTCCACCCCCCTCCCCCACCCTGTTTCCTGGGGTCTCTCACTCATTACAAACTCTGTATCAGTGTAATGTGTCTGGATGGCGAACTGATCTGTTTATTTTAATGTCTAATATCCTCTAAGCTTCCTCAGAGCTGAGTGGATCAGTGCTGCTGCCTGACTAGCATGCTAATCATGGTTTTCACTGATGTGGAATAACCTGAACACATCTGACCATTTCCTGTCCGTTACCACAATGGCCGTTCCTATGATGTAAACCACACATAGACACGTACGTGTTTATGTGTTCCGTCAGAAGGTCAGATGACTCTGCTGTATCATTTATCCTGAACTTCCCAGCCTAACCGGCCAAATATTTACAGTTATCAGGACTGCTGGTAAACCGTAGTAACGTTATGAAGCAGCTCTTCGAGAGAACTGTTTGTCATGCCTTTGCCAGGAAACCCAATGAATCACATGCACATGCTGTTTCAGAATGAGCACTCTACATTGAGTTGCATGTAAAGCAGCCTTGCCGTACTGCGCCACTAAACTCTCTTTAATTCGGCAGAACACCAGGTTTGAGGAGCCGGTGACGTTAGACTTCTTGGATGCGGAGTTGGAGAACGAGAAGAAAGTGGAGGTAAAGTTTTGTTTGCATTTTTTAGATATTCGTTCTCATGATTATTGGTTGCTGACTGGATGATGGGCCTGTTGTAAATGTCTCCCACTCAGCATGCCAACAAACACACAACAATTCTAATAACAGAGTGTGATTTCGGAGAGGGCTCACCTGAGACTTCACAGACTGGAAAAATAAGATAAATACTCAACAGAAAATATTCTTGTAGGTAAAACTGGTTAAAGGTTTTTATACCTCTTTTCTCTCTGTGTGTAGATTAGAAAGATGATGATAGATAAAGGAAAAGGCAGTGAGACCTTCAGCACACTGGTGAAGTCCCAAGATGAGGTAATTTTATGTTATTTAATACTTATTTAATCCTAGCTGCATCATCTAAAGAGAGAGACCGTTATTGCTTTTTGAAATGACGTATTGATTAATTGGTAAGTCAACTAAAAGCTGGCTTCTTGATAAAATGAGTTGACTAAACTGCTTGAGGAAAGTTGTTGATGGTACAGTTTAAGTCTGATGTTTGTGGTGTTTGTCACTTTCCTCTGCAGCGTTACATAGACAGAGGCCTGAGAACATACACTTGGGCTCCAGTCAATGAAGCTGATTACAGGTAACACTAGAATCTGTGTGTGTCAGACAGACAGTGTGAGTGACTGCTGTAGTCTGTGAACTGACTAGAGGGATTTCTGAATCAGCCACTAGGGGGCGACATTTACATGACTAAAAGTTTTCTTGTAAAGAAATACCAAAAAATGATAATACAGGTAATACCTAGCCATGGAAATTCTCTGGGAAAAATGTGAGAATTTATCCAAAATGTGATCTTTATATGTTTTTATGTGCTTTCTTCCTCTCTATTTCTGTCTCGTTTTCTCTCCATCTGTTTCTCTTTCTCTCTCTCTGTTTCTCTGTTTCTGTTTCTCTCTCTTTCTTTCTCTTTCTATTTCTCTCCTTTTCTCTATATTTCTTTTTCTTTCTCTTTTTTCTGTTTTTCTTCCTCTATTTCTCTTTCTCTTATCCTTCTTCTCTCTCTCTGTCTCTCTATTTTCTTCTTTTTTCTTTCTTTCTTTCTCTTTTTTCTTTTCCTATTTTCGCTTTCTTTCTTTTTCTTTATCCCTTATTTCTCTATCTCTTCCTCTCTCTGTCTCTCTCTCTGTCTCTCTCTCTCTCTCTCTCTCTCTCTCTCTCTCTCTCTCTAGCCTTGCCTTAGTTCTCCCTGATTACAGTGTTCATTACATCCAGCCCAGGATAGGAGACACCATCACCCAGGCCAAATGTAAGTGCCTATTGAACATAAAGACATGTTTCTTTCTCCTCTGTGTAACTGAAGGGATACTTCAATGTAACCTCCTGCCGGAGTGCCCCCCACCACCACCACCACACTCACCTCCACTCCACACGTCCCTTTGAATCTGCCGCTCCTGCCCCGGAGAGCTGGGCCAGCGTGACTCCTCAGTTGTGGTTGGCTTCCCTGGGCTTTCGGCAGACGAGGCAACAGCTCACTTAAAGGCTCAATTGTGTATCCCTGCACATTTTCAAAGGCTCTTTGGCCTGTAAGACACCTCCGCTCCCATGTTTTACCCATACTGTTCCTCTCCCCTCTCTCATGTGGCTTTAGAAGTAGGAAATGAATCTAAAATTCTTTTAGGCTTCACAGCTGTACCCATTAAAGGAATAGTCCTGTGCTTTTCAGCCTAATCTCTGTCTGCCACATCTGCAGCATATGATCATTTACCACGGACAATCATTTCCCTGTACTTAGAAAAGAACAGAAAACCCCTTTATTCAAAGCATGCTTATAGAAGAAGGCGATGGGAAGGTGTTTCAGGGCCACTTGTCTATAATAAGTATGTTTTGAGTCAATGCGTTTTCTGTAAACATCTACTAAATGTCTCAGAATTGTTCTCCGTGGTAATCGACCACGCAGCACAGACGCAGCAGATAGCGGTTAGACTGAAAAATGCTGGAGTGTCCCTTTAATCTTACATTCTCAATACAATATTCTTATTCAAAGCTTCTGGAGTTGAATAAAATATTGGTTAATCCCTTATGTTCTTTCCTATTTTGTTCCCTCCCATCCTCTTTCCACCTCTCTCTCTCTCTCTCTCACTCTCACTCTCTCTCTCTCTCCCCCCTCTCCTCCCTGTCTGTCTGTAGACTGGAGACCCTTCGATCATTCTGGCAAGTATTTTCCTCCTGTTCTCTGACTCTCGCTCGCTCGCTATCTAACATTTGCACCTAGCTGTTCAAAATGAGCTTGGCTGACTGTCGCAGCTGAACCCACTCACACAGGTTGAATTCAGACCCCTTCACACAGCACACACAGGCACTGTGTCAGACGCTGTGGATGCAGAGAGCATGTGCTCGGTGTGCCGCCTGAGGCAGTGAGTTTTGGCTGCTCTAGCTGGTATACTTTGGCCTGGGCATTGGCGTTGTGTTTATGTGTGCAAATGATCTCTGCAATTGCTTTTATTAGCCTTTGCGTGTGTGTGTATGTGAGAGTGGGCTCAGCAAGGTCAGGGATGTTGAGTGGATGTTTGCATGGTTTGAAGGTGAGTAGTTGAAGCCATGACTGATCCAAACAACTGCCTCGATCTGGCTTTTTATGTCCCCTGTCACTTCTAAGCATTTAGTTGGCCTAACAGCTCTATTTGTTTCATGAGACACAGACTCACACATCTCCAGCGTATGTGTGTGTGTGTACACAGTCATATGCAAAAGTTTGAACATCCATGGTCAAATTACATGTTTTATTGATTTTCTAAGTGAAAATAAGTTAACACATTCTCTACGGAGAACACACTTAAATATGGCAAATTGAAAACTTTTAAAATATAAAATCTACCTATAAAACTTCTGCACAGGCCACATTTTCAGTTCAATGAGACAAATTTAGCAAATAAACAGAAATTACTGTTGATTTGCTGAATTTAACACAATGGAAAAAATTTAAACATAAAATATGCCCTATACAAAAGTTATAATTATGTTTTATATTTTTCAGTATATATATAAACTGAGCAAATAAGTACTTCATTTAGAAAATTAACAGAAAAGGTAATTAGACTGGAGTGTTGAAACGTTTGCATAAGACCTTATTACACTGTCTGGCTATTCTTTTAGAAACCCTTCTCTTGTATGTCTACCTTAAAGTGCAGTTAGAGACTGTAGACCATCTGTTGATGCACAATTTGCAAGTCATTCTCTAGCCCAGGGGTCTCAGTGACTCACTTTTGATCTGTGAGACAGTTTACAGTTTATCTTTAAATCTGGCCTTCATTTTTTTTTTTTTTTTTATTTTCTGCAGCTAAATTTTTACCTCTGATGGGTAAATTTGCCTTACCCACCAATGTGGCTGGTCACCTAGTGTAAGTTATATAACATCTACTGATACATTGACTGATAGACTGATACATTGTTAAAAGCAAAAATAGAGCACTTGTGAAAGGAAGCATTTAAATGAAGCCCTAGCATGAATGCTGCATAAGAAGCATGCATTACTGTAAAGCAGCTGTAACTAACTTAACTATTACTCTAATTTTGACCAATAGCTAGTTAAATCTGCCTTCATGGATTCATTAAATGTAAGTTTACCTTATTTAAGCGAACATATTATATTTATTATACACTCTGGGCTAATTTATTGTTACTCCCTGCCAAAGGGAGTAACAAAGTGTCTTGGGGGGGCCAAAGTGCAATGTTTGTAGGGGTCTGAAGGGCAAAAAAGACAAAACAATGCACAAATAAAGTAGGTAGGTAGGCAGTTACTAAAATACTCTGTATTTTGATGACTTTGATAAGTTATATATAGTATAAAAATGTTAGAAGTCAGAGGGTTCAACAGTCTGTTCTTGTGTACCTACATTTTGGATATTTAAGGTAGGTGGACCATATTAAGTGGCTAGTGAATGGAAGGTATATGTTTCTAATAAAGTGGACAGTGAGGGTATATATGCATGTAAAACTTAATCAGGACAGTGGTTCTGAGGCTGCTCTACAATAATACCGTTCTGAATGTGGCACCATAACACTGTATGGATTTCTGTATTATGTTTCGGTCTTCTTTAGATGTCCATGTCCTTCTCTACCTGTAACTCTTTTGCTGTAAATGCACCTCAAAAAGTTTATTCTTCAGTTTCAGGCCACTTGTACATATTTAGAGACCGCTTTCTGGACAGTACACAACAGTTTGAATTGGACCACATGACTCTTTCATGTCCAGCATGTTTTGGTGCAAAAATATGAACAACTGCAACTATTAATTATTTTTCTTCGGTAGTTACTCTGTCATTGCATCCATCAATCGTGCTTGAATGTGAAACTGTCGAATTTCTCGTAATGCATAATTCATGAACGATGCCGTAACATTGCTGTGGAGATGTGCTAGATGACCACATTTAAGACCCTCCTCACTGTTTTTTTTTCCATATGTGCTGAGAGAGAACCTTTTGATCAAAATGCAATATTTTTATTCAAGGCTTGCTCTGTGAATAAAATATTGGTGACTTTTAACCCGTGTGGTTTTACCCCCAATTCTCTGTCTCCCCTTCCTTCTCCCCTGCCTCGGTCAATTGCTCCCTCCCCTCTTTCCTCTCCTTGTGGGATTTGACCCTCCAGAGGACAATGGCAAGTATTTGTTTTTCCTTTTTTCTCCTCATGTCTTATCCTTCTTGTGTCACATACATGTACACACATGTGTTTGTATACATAGAGTTTTCAGTTATGTCATTTACTGCGATTAGCCCCTGAAATTGCCCCACCATTTTTTAGTTATTAACATAGTACTCACTAACTACTATGACTCATCAAGTAACTGTTCTGAAACTAATATGTAAGTTATGTGAGTGATGAGTTGACGTTAGTGAATTTAGCCACATTAGTGAAATTTAAGGGATTAAGAAATGTATGTTCAGTGTTATTCAGAAATGCGCCTAAAGAAAGGGAGCTACACACCTAGACATCCCAGATATGTCCAACAGTGTAGGTGATAAAGTAATATTCCTGGAGTGTTCAACCTAATTTCATTGTGCTGCATATTTATTGAACCATCGGTTACCATGAACAATAATTTTACCAGAAAACATACAAAAGAACAGAAAACGTACTGACACAAAATACACAACTATATAGAGCAAATTTGCAATTACACTCCAACAATACAAGTCTTAGGATGAAGCAGGCAAAGCTTTTCTTATAAAGTCGTAGCCAATGTTTATCCAAACTATAGTGAAACACAGTCAAACAGCAGTTACTTTCACTTTCCCTGAGGTTTTTCTGGCATCCATGCTGTGAAAACAACCATGTTGGTAACTTATTACCTTTACCACAAATTCTTCCCTAGTCCACTCTCTGAAATCACTATTTGTACAGATTTACAGTGTTTCACACAAACATTTACTGACAGAATTCAGCAACTTCTCAATGATTTCTATTATAATACACAGTGCTGTGAAAAAGTCAGAGACCATCATTCATTTATGTAACAACACTGCAGTTCGAAAAAGCTGCAAAGGAGATGGGACTCATAACAACCATGCAAGACCTGGGAGACCATCAAAACTGTCCCCATCAGGTAAACAGTACTTAAAGCTTTCATCTTTGAGAGAGAGGAGAAAATCAAGCTCCACTCTTGCTTCAGATCTGTTTCTGTCCATCCTTCCACTGTGAGAAGAACGACTCAACACTCTGAGTCTGAAAGGATGTGTAGCTGTAAAGAAGCTGTTACTGAGGAGAGAAAATAGACAAAAAAGAAGAATTTGCCAATCAAAAAGCTGTTGTTTTTCTCAGAACAGTAGACTGACCACCCAAGAGTCCAGGCCTCAACATCACTGAATGTGTTTGGATTACCAGGATTATGAGAAGCAGCAAATACAACCAATTTATAAGACTGAATTTTGGAGCAGTGGAAAAATATCTAAAAAGCAAGACTCCCAAAAAGGATGGAAGCTGTAATAAAGGTAAAGGGTGAACACACTAAATACTGAAAAAAGACGAATGAAAGGGTGGTCTCTGACTTCTACACAGTACTGTATTTTAAGTAAATGGAGTTTTGTTTCTTTTACAGGGAAATGCTTGGAAATGAATGGTGCTTCACCATGTGCTATAGATGAAACAGATAGAGAATAGAAACTGTGACATTATGATTTCAGTGTCAGTAGTGCCTAATCTGTAACCACACACTGTGTAAAACTAGCCTTAACAGTGTAGGTCTCCTTCCTGTTTCATTGTGCTGTATCACTGTGTGTCTGACTGCTGATGCTTTGGTCCGTGAGGTTCAGTCTTCCTGGATGTGACAGCTGGAGAGTAGCTGTGGCGCCTCCAGGCTAGCAGTGCTGTCTCAATCCATCATAATGTGTTTCAGCTAGCGCTGCGCTAAATAGCGTCCCTGTCCAAAACCGAACACAGGCGGGGGAATTAATGCAGTTAGATGTTTGTGTTAACGCAGTTGATCATGTGACCTTTCAGCGCTTGTCTTCACTTCACTGTCGTATCAGATATGTCTTTACTCTTTATTGCAGCGGTAAAACTCTCTCAAAGTCAGCAATTTGGCTATACTTTAAACAGGCCTCTGATTTGTTTCTCCTCCTTTTCAGTCTCTGAAAGCCTACAGGTGGATAAGTTTGATGAGTATGGATATACCTTCATAGCTCCCAGGTGAGTGATGTCACAGCGATACACAATTCCATCAGATTTCATCACGTGCATACGTCATAAATGTGAATCTGTGAGTTTTCACTGGATATGATTTTAATAAAGAGAGTTAAGTGGACTCTTGAGCCAGTACTGTGTTATATGACTTAACAGAATTGTTTGGTGAATAGTTTACCCAGTTCCTCAAATAGAGTCAGTCATCCAAGACATGTCTGATGGCTTTTATCTCACCAGGCTACACTCTTAAAAAAGATGGTTAGATGGTGCCTAAAGGGAAAGAAAGTGGTTCTATAGAACCATGAAATCTCAAAGAACCCTTTACATGATTAAAGGTTTTTTTGCTTCATGAAAATGTTCTTCAGATGTTCACAATGCTAAGAATTCTTCAAGAACCATCTTTTTTAAGAGTGAAGCATTTAACAATCTTTAATAGACTTTTGTAGACTTATTAAGAAATGATTACATTACAAAAGTAGGGACAACATTCAGGCTGTAAGATGGCTGCTACTATTTTTAGCTATGCAGTGTCCACTGTTATCAGGGGCTGCAACTGGGGTTTTGGAGGTGGTGGGGGGCCTGCTTTTTCCATTGGTGTATACAATGTGGGAAGAGTTTGTCAGTACTGACAAAATGAAAACGGTTCAGAAAAATAATAGCCGTCCTATTTCTATCATTGTATATCTTAATTATGGAAAATTTACATCACAGTTACTTCTGAAGATGAAACTGCATCAAACAGCGATGCCTCACATCTAATACCAAGAACCTTAGCAACCAACCTTAGGACCCAAAAACTTTAAAAGAGCTGCTTCTAATTTATGTCATGCTAATTTTGGTCTGATTGGTCAGCATAGACAAAAAAACACTTGTGAAGTAGGCTACTTAACTGCTTTGAGTTTCATTTTTTTCAACTCAGGGGTCCAGGGGTGCGCAAAAATCAGCTGCCCAACCTGCCAAAACAGCACACAAACGAATGTCTCTGATTGAAAACAATAGAAAAAAGGCATCTCACATTCCCATCATTTGCCATTCACAGTCAATCAGTCAATATGTAGCTAAAAACAGAAGCTCAGTTACTTGTTCCTGACTGGCTGGCTGCATGTTCTTCTACATTTATTGACTGATCGACTATATTTTGGAGAAGTGTAAATTAAATTTTTCGCTAAACTTTTCCTTTAGTGGTTCTCTTACGTTTTGTTTTGTAGAGAGTACTGCAAGGACCTAAAGCCGCAGAGTAGCAACAACACAGAGTTCCTGATCGAGTTCAACGAGTACATTGACAGGAAGACGCCCAACCATCCGCTGTGTGAGTGCTGGACAGATGGCTGTCCATCTTTCCTGGGTTCATTTCCCAGCAGTGGGAGGGCATAAATGTGGTGTTCACGAGTTCAAGTCAGCACTTTTTTCTGCTTCTTTTTGGTGACAGAAAATGACATTGTCAGTTTTCGCTCTGCAAAACAGAACAGCAATAAAGTTTCATTAAACTCGTAATACATTGATGTGCTTGAAAGTTGTGCATGGAGCTGTTAGCCTGCTGCACGAGCACCTGCAGCACATCCAAATTCACTCTACTTAGCACTAGCTAGTACTGGTAGCCTAACAGCTTCGCATATGACAAGACTAGGGTCAGTTCTGGCTAACTGGTGCCCCCTTGACACAAGTTTAGAGGATGAAGACTCAAATCTGAGTCTTTCTCCAAGGAAGTGACTTCAAATGATTGATGTTGGAGTAACAGAAAAACAGAATCTAACATGCTCTGTAGGGTATTGAGCTGTTAACCTGCTAGATAAGTCTTTTCTTCAGACTCTGAATGTGTATGAAGTTCAGACATAGAGGGGTGTATTTCAGCTCAGGTTGGTTGTTGTTATAGTGTAGTTCGCTGAAGCTTATAGCATAGTGTACACAGAATAAGCAGGAGTGATGGCAGGATTTTTGGGTTGCTTCTGTGGCATTTCTAGTTGGGATGAACTCCCAAATACTGGCCATTAATTGAAACTGCTTTGTCCTATTGTTGAGCATTGCAATGGCAGCATGGAGTAAGTCATTCAGGTGCTCCAGCAGCACTCTAACCTCCTCAACCCATTTCACCAGAGGAATAAGCTTTCATTTAGCCTACCTGATTAAATAAAGCTTTTGGTTGAGCGTGCCAAGTACGCACGTCTCTTGAGGTCCATTATTAAACATGCATATATCGAGTGATATTTATTGCTCTCCTGTTAGCTGTTGTGGGCTTGGGCCCTGCCCCCATCTTCTCCATCAAGCCCTTTGATCCGAACACTGGAGGTGCGGTAATCACTCGCTTCGGTGCACGTGTTAGGCGTGTGGGGGGGCTGGCCTTGTATCTGCACACTCAACCAACTCCAATTACCCTGTGTGAGTGAGAGAAAGCAGGACATGCCACAGAGAGAGAGAGATAGAGAGAGAGAGAGAGAGAGAGAGAGACGTAGTGAGGCATGGAAAGTGGGTGGGGGGGACATTGGGTTGGGTTATAACCATTCAAAATGTAGCACAATGAAAGGAGCCGTTCAGCGAGTTGATTGCTATTTCAGACATCCCAACAGACCACCAGTTGACCCAGAGTTTTTCTAGTGTATGTGTAGCTTCACTGCTATTTATCATCATTTCTAAACCATCTTTAATCACTTAAAGGTCTTTTTAAGTGTATTGTGTACTTATGGGTCTTTTTTATGGGCATCATCATTTGAGAACCGTCTTTATTCACTTAACGGTCTTTTTATATGTAGAACAAGGCTCAATTCATTATTCTGTAGCGTAATCCATAATCACAAAGCTGAAAATTGTTTATCTGAAAAAAAAAAAACATCTCAATTTAAACCATTCATATTTGTACAGATTTGTCATGGAGGCCCCTGTAATTGTCGTGTATGATCTTGGGATTATAAAGGGGGGTTACGGACAGATCGGTTGAGTTGAACTGAATTCCTGGGCTGCCTTCAATAAGGCCCTAATGAAAAGCACACAGTATTGGGAGGGCGCGGAGCAGCCTAAAGTGTTACACCAGCTGCCCTCTCTGAAGTGTGTGTGGTGTGTCATAAAGGAGTTACCCCGGCCTGCACATTAATGAACTGCAGCGTGACACTTTAAAGCGTTCAAAGGAGGCTGAACGCACCCCAAGAAAAAAAAAACAACACTGCCCCTTTGATGGGTTGTTGCAGTCATATGCAGCCATACAATACAGACATGTTTCACGTCACGCAGAATTAATCTGCACATTACTTTACTTGCTTGGTTTCTCGCCTGCTCTTTTTTATGAACTCCTACTCCTCACTGACTTCTGCAGTAACTCCGTCAGAGGTCAGGATCTGGAACCTGTTCTCCACAATATGAACCAAATAGGCATTAACACATGTATGTCAAGATCAAAATCAAGTAAAGTTTGTAATCAGAACCACATAAACAGTGCAGCGTACAAGACAGTGTTTACTGGACCACACAACACAAGTGACCAAGGCATACACCATGTGACCAAAAGTATGTGGACATCACACCTATTTGAGCTTGCTGAATCTCCCATTACCATGGGTATTAATATGGAGTTGCCCCCTTTGCAGCTATAACAACCTCCATTTTGGAAATTTGTGCCCTTTCAGTCAAAAGAGCATTTGTGAGGTCAGGCATTGATGTAGGATGAAAAGTTCTGGCTCACAATCAACGTTCCAGTTCATCCCAAATGTGTTCAGTGGGGTTGAGGTCAGGGCTCTGTGCAGGCCACTGGAGTTCCTCCACTCCAAACTCATCAAGCCATGTCTTCATGGACCTTGCTTAGTGCACAGGGACACAGTCGTGATGGAGCAGGAAAGGGCCTTCCCCAAACTGCTGCCACAAAGCTAAAATCATATATAAATAAATATATAGTCTAAAATGTCTCTGTATGTTGTAGTCTTCACATTACCCTTCACTGGAACTAAGGAAAACAGTCCCAGACCATTATCCCTCCTCCACCAAACTTTACTGTTGGCACTATGCATTCCGGTAGGTAGCATTTTTCTGGCATCTGCCAAACCCAGATTTGTCAACCAGACTGCCAGGTAGTAAAGTGTGATTCGTCTCTCCGGAGAACACGTTGTCATTGCTCCAGAGTCCAGTGGCGTGTTGGCATTGCAGAGTGACCTCATGTTTGTTTACCGCTGCCATGGAAACCCATTTCATGAAGCTCCTGACGCACAGTTCTTGTGTTGGTGTTTGTTTCCAGAGGCAGTTTGGAACTGTAGTGAATGATGCAACAGAGAGTAGGGCTACATACTACAGCAGTTAGCAGCCTGCTCTTTGAGGTAGCTTGATCTGCCACTTTGTGGCTGGGCTGTTGTTACTCCTAAATGCTTCCATTTTTACAGTAATAGCACTTACAGTTGACTGGGGCAGATCTAGCAGGGCAGTAATTTTACAGACTGACTTCTGGCAAAGGTGGCGTCCTATGACAGTGTCATGTTTAAAGTCACTGAGCTCTTCAGAATGACCCATTTTACTGACAGTGTTTGTCTATGGAGATTACAAGGCTATGTGCTTGATTTTATACACCTGTTAGCAATGGGTGTGGCTGAAACATGTCCCCATACTTTTGGCCATACGATGTATGTAACACATGGTGCAGTTAAAGAAATACCATAGCATTTTTAAGTCTGATCTCTAATATATCTGTATCGTACTGTCTGTCAACACAGACAATCATTCCAACATATTTCCTCGTAGTTAGAAATTAGTACAAAGTCTTGTTAACTCAAAACTAGAACTCACTTGTAATAGAAGCCAAAAGACAATTGCTTCAGCGCCTGCCCAGTGGCATCTATTGTAAGTGTGTTTTTTAAAGTTTCTGTTCTTTTGTTAAGTACATGGTAAATAATAAATAAATTATTAGGCCAAAGGTTTGTGTCAAACTGACGTAAAACAGTGTCTCATACATCAGGCAACCTTTTCAAGACAATGTTGTCTAAGAGATGACTGTGAGGTTTTTTGAGTCATTAAACGTTTATATACATGTATCTTGTTTTTCATCCCCAGTTTTGATTAAGTACGTTTCTCTACAACGGTGTATTTCACAACAAACTATTTTGCTTGCATTGTTCACTTCACAAATTGTGAAATTTCTGCCGAAATTGTGAAATTGTTCCCCGTTATACAAGACAGTGCATTACAGTACTCAATTACAATACAATAAACACACAACTGTGTAAAACTGGGCCCCAAACACAGCAATAAATACAATGCTGTAAATATACTGGACAAGACTGTTCAAGAAAATGTATAAGAATGTGATTTGCGCATAAGCAAACAGACCTGAGTACATCAACATACAAAATATATGTAAACCAAATCAAGGTCTGGTTGAAACATGAAGGGATATATTCTGTAAGTTGGACTTGAATCCTCTCAAGTTGCACTTTGTGCCTCTTCTGAGTTACATCTGAGAAGATAACACTCATCAAAACAGGCCAGTGTGCCAACCAAAAAAACTAAGACTACATTTTATTATGCGTTTGTTTCTTATGCACACTTTTTTATGTGGTTAGGCAATGTGGATCTGGTAAACCGGTTGTTGCTGGACGCTGGTGTTACATCTGAAATGGTGAAACAGTGGCGTACACAGGACTTGTGAGTCATGATAGCACACACACACACATACACACACACACACACACATACACACACACACACACTCATTTAAATGTTGCTAAATGAAACTGCATTCTGTATAAATCACATGATGACGTGCATGCCAGCTATCTTCATTCACATCCTTACTAATTCATTACATACAGCCTGTTCACTTCATGTGAACTGTAGGAAACTACTTAAACTGTAAACACCCACCTTTCAGTCCCTCGGTCTCATAAAAACATAGCTTAGGTATTAGTTTCATGGTTGTTAGAGCTTCATGACATGGACAAAACAGCAGATTGTAATTATACTGCTACATACTGCGGTTTTTTAAAACATAATGCTGTGAACCAAAATGGTTCAAGTTTGCTGGATGACATGAACCACTTAATTAATCTTAAATCCCAGAAAAACTCATCTATATCATCTGAGGTTGGTCATGATGCTCAGAGTGCTCATGATACAGAGGTTTGTTTGCATATTGCAGCCATTTGTGAAATCATGTTTCCAAGCAAAATATTATAATAACCATTAACAAACAATATATTGTGCAGATAGAATAGACACTAGGGCTAACTAGTTCATAGTAGCTACTGAATGGTAAGGCTAAAGTTGGAGTTTAAGGAATTAACTCTTCCTGTCCTGTTATGTGTTAAACGTTCTATTGTTTGTCTGAACACGTGTGATTGGCAGGAGTGAACGAATCAGCGCAAGGTTTGTGGCCACAGATGGAGGCATTACCAGGGTCTATCCCAAGAGGTATGAGTCTGCTTTAAATACTTTAGGTTTACATCTTTGTCCAGTTGCTTAAACAGCTTTCATTGAACTACGCTCCACTTTTCCGAAGCAGTAAACACACCCTTCAAATCTGTTGACTAGTTTAATTGCACACCACTAATGTCAAATTCTGAGAACGGAATGATTTAGATTTTGAGCTTTAGTGTAAACAGGATTTATGGCGGAGTGTACACACAGGGATGATGGAGTGTTTACTACTTTAGAAACAAAGTTTAGTATGGTAATCCTACAGAGGCTGCATTGAAGATCCAGACAAACAAAGGTGCCTTAAGGTCACCAAGATGTGTGCTGTATGTGTGTTGTATTACATATAAGTATGTACATATTATTGCTGTCCAAAAAAAATTGTCAGTTTTTATTTTTCTACATCATTTGAACACAGCAGTAGTCCTTGTGTGAAAAATTCACAATGAATGAACCAATACAAATGTTTTGGTTTAGTTTACATTAATTTACGTTAACATTTTTGTCTTTTCTTGTATATTTACTATTTTTGAGATATATGTTTCATGTACGTTTTCATCCATGTAAGGCTTATACATACAACTCAGTCATCAAAAAGCACCTGGGACCAAAAAAAACTTACTTTTATGGTACAAAATCATCAGGTCGAATGTCCGATTGCTGTCAAAATTGACATGTGCATCTAAATGAGAACGAGAAGATGGCCAGAAGCATGTTCTACTTGAATCTGTTTAACTACATAAAAAGTCATGTTACATGATACATATTAACTACACTTGCCATGATGGGACGTTTGGAAATGATTAAACAAACACCTACAGAAAACCAGTATTTATTGTATGCATGCTATTTGTGTTTATGCTAGTATTATTTTTTTCTCAGTAAATACATATTTGTTGCCCAGATAACTTACGTTTTAAATATCATTTTTTCAGGTGCCTAAAACTGCACAGTAGAGTACATATGGTCAGATGTATGACCCCATGTCCTGAGTAAAAGGTGTATAAATGTATGTGTGCTTGTGAATGTTCTACAGTGCTGGTCTAGATTGGAATGAGGAACCAGAGACATATGAGTCCAGTTTCTACAAGAGGAGCCTGGATAATGATATTTACATCTTCACACCGTCTTTACCGTTACCAGACAATGACAGCCGTAAGTCTGTTTCTGTGTGTGTGTGTGTGTGTGTGCGTGTGTGTGTGTGTGTGTGCGTGTGTGTGTGTCTGTGAGTGTGTTTGACTGATGTTAAAGGAAAGTCTCTCTCTCACTCTGTCAGATGCAAGCGAGACCATTTTAGTGAGCAAAGCAGTGGATCTTAGGATAAATGGAGTGACGCTTAAACCAGCAGGTAAGGCTAAATAATGGACAGATGGATGGCCAGACGTACTGATGTACATTGAGAAATAATAATAATAATAATAATAATAGTAATAATAATAATTATAATAATAATAACTTTATTTATATGTAAATGTTACATTACTGTAATAATGTAGGTGTTATATTGCATTGTGTAAAGTGTGACTCTTCCAAAAAGACCCTTCATGAAGAGCTGATAATGGTGCTCTGCTGTTATTTGTTCTAGTGGTTGGTGTGAAACTGGACATCACAAATTGGATGGAAAGCTTCACAAATGCTACCGAGAAGTCTAATGTGAGTCAGAAACACAGAAGCATTCTTTTTCACCCCTCAGTAAAGAGTATCATAGCTTTTTTCCAGTGGACCCTGTGCATTATCTTAAATATTCCCTAGACATTCCTGGACAGACTCACACCAAAACCGTATAAATTAATATATTCATTTTACAGTTCAGCTTTAATTACTGTGGCGTTCAAAGACTGTGTTAATGATGAGGCTTGTGGTTTTTGTCTATCCCTCACAGTGTAATGATGAGATATGTGGCTGCAAAAGAAATGATCAGGTGAGACTTTACACTGTTTACTTACTGAATTCTTAAATTGTTTAATTAAAACTCTAAGCACTAAATACCTCAGCAGTCTGTTTTTCCACCTTCACCACTTCACTGTGTCCTCCCTGTTCTCCATCACTCTTACATTCCACTCCTGAATGTTCAGCACAAGGGGGTCTGACCTTCCAGCACAAATCAGAATCCACTCAAAATTCCAAAACCCACCCACAACTCCAGTTCTCTCTTTTTTCCACCTTTTTTGCATTCACTCCTTGATCAGTCAGTTGTAGGTGTGGTGCCCACACACAAAATATTGCACAAAACACAATCACTGCATTTGCAGTGTTCATTTAAATTCATTTCAGTAAAGTACACTTACGGTAAACTTCACAAAACCTTCTGTCTCCAAAATGGTAACTTTACAGGAGAAGGTAAAATCAATCTTAACTTGATTGTAAATGTAGCAAGATTTTATTGCAAGGAACTTTGGACCATTGCTATTGGTCATTTCTTCATTCTACATCTTAGCAAATGTAAAGGGCAGCTAGCATTTTCAAATGATGTATACAATTATAAAAAAGACATAAATGGAGATACAAGGTTACAACAATATAGTACTGATCTCTTGTCTGAATTAAGGTTTTTTAGTTTGTACTAGTGTTCTCAGTGTATTCCAAAGATTCTATTATAATTCTAACAGTCTTCAATATGGCAAAAATAACATTGTTTATCACTCATACTTTGTGATTTATATATTGTGACCCCATTTTTTCAAAATATTAAAATATAGCAAAACTTATCTAACAAAAATTTGCCTTTTGGCTAACCCTGGCTAGTTCTGTTGACACTGTTTATTAATAGGCAATTTCCTTGACAAATAAATTAGTAAATAATAAAAATAAATAAATTATTTTGCTGCTGTTCTGACAGTTTTACATTATCATGGCAGTTTGTATACCTCTGTGTATTAGATATAAGTGCTGGGCTTCTAATGAAACATTGATGTATTTGGTGTTAAGTCTATTTTAATCCTCTCTCCTGATTGTCTCCACAGAACATTGACTGCGTGCTCCTAGACGACGGGGGATTCTTAGTCATGGCCAATCAGGATCATTATATCGATAAGGTTGGTTTTTCTTTTCTCACATTAAAGTCCCTCATCTGTCAGTCAACCACACTACAGGCTCCCCCTTGCTCCCCCCTGCTGTAGCAGAGTAAATGTTTGTGGTTGGGCTTAGTGAGGGAGGCCCATTGGAGTGGAGTGCGTGCGGGATAAATCATGGTGCTGAGCTAAAGCCAACCTGGACCTAACCCTCCTCTCACAGCCTCTCCAGGGTCCACGCTGACCGCTGCCGGCACTGACTGCCCATTCGTTAGGGGTGTTATTGCTTGCAGAGAGGGCTAGAAAGCGGAGAGCGCTTTATACACACCCAGATTTATGCTTCCTCTGGACTTGTAGTCTCACACACACATACACACACAGTGCGCTGCTGACAGGACATTGTTTCTTCTGGAGCTGAGTTGGGAGCTATTCGCTCTGTGTTCTTAACAGTAACCAGAACAAGGGCAGGCCAAGGGTACTTTTTTCTCTTCCCACATGCACACACACAATCTGTATCACACCTCAGAGATTTTCTTGGCTCAAAGACAACACTTCCATCAGGTTAGTTTATGGTAATGTAGTGAGCTGTGTTAATGAGATTAGTACGGATCCTGTTGACCTCCCATGAGCCCACACACTCAAACTCAATCACAGCAGGATGCCTGTACAAAGGGTATCGTCACTGTCGGAACAAAACCCTTTATCTCCAAAATGGTAACTTTACAGGAGAAGGAAAAAAGACTTTATTAACTTGTAATGAAAGTTTTTGTAAGAAATTTATTCTGGACCTTTTGTACTGGTCCCTGTAATGTGAAATCTTAACACAATGTAAAGGATGAGCAGAGTTTTCAAACGTATATATATATATATATATATATATATATATATATATATATATATATATATATATATATATATATATATATATATATATATGTTTAGAATTTGTAAAAGTACCGCACTGTGTAAAAGTCATTATTATTATTTAATTTCCAGTCAAAATGGCCATTAACTACATAAGGAAGAGGAAAATAAAAGGAAAATAAGTGAAAAAACAGAAGTTCAAAACTTAATGAAAAAGTGTTCAAAAGGTATATATATATATATATATATATATTGTTTATTATATATATTTATTAACACTAGGAGTCTGGAAGTATGTGTAGCTGTCAAGAAGGCCTTACTAAGAAAATAGAAAGAATATTCAAAGTGGAAAATTCTACCAACTCCTAAGACTGAACTTCAGAGGTGTGGAAAAATATCCCTACAGATTTCTTTGAAAAACTGAAAGCAAGTCTCCTGAAAAGAATGGAAACTTTAATAAAGGCTGGACAGACTAAATACTGAACTACATATAAATACTCATTTATATGTAGTTATTGAGCTTTCTGTATAGTTTATGTTAAATGTATGTTTTCTGCTTTTATCTGACACTGATAAATGAATAACGTGTACTTTATGGCCGTTTTGACTGGAAATCAAATAACTGGAAAAAAGTCTGTGGCTGAAATCCAATCAGCTGCTTGATGCTACGCATTTTTACACAGTGAAACACTAGTTGTTAAAGTTTACTCTCTATAATTGATCTAAATAAAAAAAAAAGATTTCTACATTATGATGTATGCAGTTGTTCAAAAAGAGTTGATAATACTTGATTATATACTTCAAAAAACATTGTGACAGAAGCTTTTTCCAATAACCACATATTGCTAACACGTAAATTTAAAGGAGCTCTAAACTTAACAGACATTTTCATGGAAGACCTTCTTTAGTATTAGTAAGCAGACACGTCCCACTTTAAACAGTTACAGATAAAATTCCTGTTGTAAAATCCAAACTGTAACCTTGGCCTTAACATAATGTGAGTTAAAGTCGTATAATCACACATGTACACCAAAATCTGCTTTGCTCAGCTTTGCTTTCTCTTTTCTTGCTTTTGTCTTGTTTTTGTGGAACAGCAAACCTGCTGAAAAACAGTTCTTATACTGAGACAGGCCAATAAATTTTAATGATGTGTTTTAACTGTAACATCTGTTCAGGCACACTGTTACTTTTAAATATGCTGCAGATGACGTGTGTTGCAATGTCACTCTTGGTAGCTATTCAGATGAAATTGTCATACATGTAGTAAATGATCACATATTTCTGTGTGAAACACTTACCAAACGATCACAGCTAAAAGAAAGATTGTCTGTGTTTGTGTGTCTCCGTCTATCTGTCTGTTAGATCGGCCAGTTCTTCGGTGTGATTGACCCCATTCTGATGATCAACTTGCTGAATGAGTCTCTGTTCTCCTTCAACAAAACCTACGACTACCAGTCGGTCTGTTACCCCGTCAAAGAAAACAGATCATCTGCAGGCCTCAGATCAGTATATGTGGTGAGTTCAATAGTGACTGACATTTACAACTAAACTTAACGATCACTGAGTGGAGCGGCAGGTCATAGTGGCCAAAACAAGTTTCTTTTGAAACTGTTGGAGGATTCAGCTGAATTTGTTGCTGACATATAGTCATAGCGACGAGACTACACAGTCGGCAGTGACTGGTTCTCAGGAGAGAACAGCTGTGGTATGGACATAGACTTGACTGTGTTTACCCAGTGCACAGGTATACAACACACATACTATAGGCTAACATACAACATAGCTATGATAAAATACATGTTTATGAGGGTAACTAACAGATTATGCTTGTGAAATGCAAGGCATATAATTTTATTTATTTATTTTTTAAGTTTAGACCCCTTGAAATGTTGCTTGCTAAGTCAGCAGGCTTTAGTCTACATTCTCAGAAATAGAGGTATGAAACTGTCACTGGAGCAGTTCCCCTCTTGTCACTGGGGTGGAACCCTCAAGGGTACATCTCCATACCTTTAGTCAGGGAACATAACTGTACCATAATCCATTGTAATGATATTTTCTAAGTTGTACTGACTCCACACCCCCCGTCTCGTCTCCAGGCTTTTATTTTATTGTTCTGTTTTAAAACATTAGATTATGAAAAGATACAAATATGTACTTTTCACCTGGAAAAACTTAATTTAAGGTCTACAACTTGACCTTAACACCACTGTTGTACCTTTGAGGGAACATTTACATTGTTTGTACCTTGATGAACGAAAATGTACCAGTACAGAACCTTTATTTCTAACAGTGTACTAGCTGGTCAGTGGAGGCTACATGGTAGTTAGTTATATTATGGGTGTACAATAATATTTATTGTTATCATGATAAGTAATGTTACAAGACACTTTTCTGAGCATATTGCGGATACTGTCAATACTTAAGGAACATGTTTCATTACAAAGAGAGCATCATTAGTACTGTTTTACTGGATTTATTTCAGTGCAGTTTGTGAAACATTTTAGTTTGGCAGTTTGTTGGTTTATTATAGTATTTTTAGTAGTATTTGTTCTTTGTGGCACTATTTTGTCTGTTTCAGCTTTTAAACCTCAGAAACATGAAATATTGTGTTGTATATTCTGAATTGTGAAAATGTTGTGAAATATCATGATACAATGTTTTTGCTATATCGCCCCACCCCACTATATTAGCTAACAAATGATGAATCCAGAGTGGTTCAGAGTTGTTGTATTATGTATTTATGATGAAGTAAATGAAGTAAAACAACAAGCATTAAAAAGTTCACTGTTAACTAGCATACTGATGGCGTAGTATTATGGCATTAGGCTATATTTAGTCTGGTTATGAGTTGCTTACCTTCCCGTTCACTGGGCTTTGGTAGAGACAGACTTTTAACGTTTTTCAGTATCAGTGAAGACGAAGAAATGAGAGAGAGAAAAAGATAGAGAGGTGAATTCAATAAAATCAATGTACAACAACTGATTTCGTATATATAGGTTTCAGCATGTATTTTTGGCTGACAGTAAGTAGGTAAATAAATAATTAAATAATGATCTAATACAGTTAAACAGGGTAGCTGGAGTCAATTCAGTTCATGGAACAGTGATAGCAGTTTATGGAAGAATGGGGGGAGGGAAAGCAAACAAATGAAAGAACAAGGTACATAATTTACCTAAAGGCTAAACTGACAGTTGGTATTCAGCAGCTAGTTTATTCACCATATGATGTATGTCACTGTTCTGCAAACTGGACCTCTTGCAAATTTTGATCCTAGTTATGACACTGCAAGTCTTAATCAAATGCCTTTAATCTTAGAGCACCATGTCTGCTACCTCCGTCGTGGAAGTTGCTTGGCCCGCTAAAAACGTTACCGCCTGCTAAAAATAGCTGTTTGTGCTCAGGCCTTCAGTCGGCCCTGTAAACTCTGGCAGGCCATAAAGCGAAAGTGAGCCTCAGCAATCAGTGGCGTGTGATCGCTCTATAATCAACCCACAGGGCCGGCTCACGCTCCCTCTCTGATCTTCAGTGAGTTTAAACTTATGGGTCAGTCTGGCCCCGGTGACTAAACCGTCCAAAACACAAACACTCAGTCCTGAATCAGCGCACAGGGATGCGTCCTCTCCAGCGTTAATTAAAGCAGCGTGTGCGTTCTTGCTAATGCAGCCCAGATCTCACTTGTTGCCCTGTTTGTAAATTTACACTAGCGTCTGTAGTGGTCCGCTCTGAGCTCGTTCCTCCAGCTTCCTTGGCCTTGTGTTTCTTCATTTGGCAGAGGCCGCAGCGGAGCCTTGCCAATGAAAAGCAGGATGTTTGGGTGCTCCTCCGCTCCTCTGCTCATGGAGTCACTCTGCACTGCAGAGTCTGGAAAGCTAGCGCTGTGTATTTTGGATCTGAGAGTAACACGCTGTGTATTTTGTCCCTCGTAGCCGACCATAGCGGATATACTGAATGTGGGCTGGTGGGCCTCTGCAGCAGCCTGGTGAGTGGACTTCTGATGTAAAAGCAGAGTTTATGCATGGACAGAGAAAGCTAATCAATTTAAAGCTGCATTATGTTAGTGTTTTTTAATTAAAATTATACTAAATAGCAATACAGAGTCAGGAGATAAAACCCATGCTGGAATATGTTATGTGTGAGCTGCTGTGCGTCACACTGTGAAGCCTGAAATTATCATGTACATGTTCCTTAGACCACATCATACATCTTCATGTATTAACATCACATGCACAGACTCAAAAAGAAGCTCCTGCTTGATGGCTCTGAAATGCAGATCAAAATTATAGTGATGAAGATATGTTGACAATAGTAGATAATTCACTCACATCCTCAGAAGACACGACCTTCACCAAGTTTAGAGTGAGTTTCTTTGAATAATCTTTCTACGCACTCGCAATCATCAAATTCATCCATTCAGAGAAGGGGTCCGAACTACAACCCACATTACAAAATGTTCTTCCGCACGTGGCATGCAATTACACATTTCTACCAGAGAGGTCTCCAAATCCCTAAAACTAACACAGTGCAGCTTTAACCTCTGTTCTCAAACCTTTCTCTGGTCATTTTATACACACTTACCTCTTTTGTTACCTGTCTTTAAGGGAATACTCCAGTGATTTCCAACCTAATCTCTATCTGCCACTTCTGTAGCATATAGTCGATTGACATAGACAATAATTTAGGCACATATTTCTGTAAATAGAAAAGAACAAAAACACGTTGACTCAAAACTCACTCACAGTAGAATCTAATGGGCAGCTGCTAAATTCCATGAGTAAACATTTGGAGCATGAGAGTGTATAATATAGATTCAAACCTACAACATTGCACTCTAGGATGAGACGGACGTGAGAGAATGAGAGGTCTTACCAAAGCTGTTTTTGTGAGATTTTATCCAACTTTTATACACTGGAGCAAATCAGTAAAAAAGTAATCCCGGTTATATTTGCTAAGGCTGTCTGGTGTCAATGCGCGATAAGACAGATCATGTGAAAACCTAAGCCACACTATATCTGTAATGTACAGTGGTGAAGCATGACTATTAGAGCTAGGCTTTCAACTTAGGCTGTAAATGTCAAAACTTGATCAAAACTTGAAAAAAAAAAAACTGTTACTACGATAATGCTAATTTCAGCTAGAGTCCCTATAGGATTCTGGTAGTTTGTTAGCACAAAGCTAACAATGATTCACATGAACATTTGAAGCTTCTAAAAGCTATCTGAAGCTTGTGACAGACATATTAGCATATGTCTTACACTCACCATGAACACTCAAAAACCATTTGCATGCTTGAAGGGTTCTGAGCATCATGAAATAATCCTTCAGATTATTGGAGAGTGTGTTGTATATGCTTCTATATAGAACCTTTGTCTTTACTAAAGAACCCTTGAAGAACCATCTTTTTAAGAGTGTACTTTGTAATTCTTTTAGTAGAGAGAGCCTAGTAGAGATTGATTAGACTGCTGCTCGTATTGACAGTCTGTGACGTATCTAGAACTTCCAGAAAGCTTAGAGTGACATTTTTTTTCTCACGTCGTTGGTCCCATGATATCTACCTCGACACCATGGCGGAAAATGTTTGATTGACTAATGTTATAGTGGGTGTTTCAAGAATTTAACCCTTTTGTTTCCATCTTAAACTTAACAATGAAACAAGAAAAATACAGAGTTTAAATATAAGCGTGACTCTGTTGAATACAAATAACCTAAACATTATTTTGTTATTATTTGGTGTTTTTAGTTTCCAGAGAACATTAGGCCTTCTCTGAATGAGGGTTCCCATCCAGTAATGTATTACCACAACTTCCTCTCTCTGGAAAATGAGTCCCATCCTGAAAGTACAAATAATACAGATTTTCCTAAAATAACTCACAAAATGTATTACACAAAATTACATGTTTCGCATAAATCTTTACAGAAATCAGCCACTGCCCTTCTGTTGTAAGTGTATTTTGAGTCAACAGGTTTATTTTCAGGGGTAGCTGTACGTACACTACAGATGCCGCAGACAGAGATGAGGTTTAATGTCCCTCTCTTATGTCTACGAATTAACTTCTTAAGTTTAACTGATAGCTTCATTGCCAAGATCACTTTTGACCCTTTATTCCTGCTTGTAGAGGAGTCATTATTTGAGTCAGACATACTAAAGTTGAGTATGTGGGTCTGTGCTGTGTTATTGTTTAAAATGATCGTCTGCTGGTTTGTTTTGATTTCCAGGTCAATACTGCAGCAGCTGTTTGTTAGCATAACGTTCCCTAATTTCCTGGAAGCAGGTAAGAAACCAAACTCTGAAAGTCATTACGGACAAAGTCATTGCCGTCTGCTAGAAGTGCGTGTAATGCCGTGTTATGAAACAATGACATTGTTAGTGCTAAGTGACTGGATAAAAACCTAGCCGCACATTGATGATCAAGTTGTTGTGAAATGCCAGATGTGATTGTTTGTGGTGATGTCAAATTTGACAGCAGCCATGTGGGGGCCTGAGTGACTTTTTCTAAGCCCTGAAATCTTCTCAGAGAGTTTAGATGAATCACTAGACAGGAACACTTGTTCCATTGAGACTCTATCCACACTTATGTGTTTGAAAACATCATTTTAGGCCTCTACATACTGAGCTTTTGGAAGAAAGTTTCCAGGAAAGAGACTTTTATAACCTAATGTTATCATGTGGGTGGATAAAATGTATCTTTTGGACAATTCTGACTTTATAGAGTCAACTTGTGCATTGTCAGTGCTGCTTTCATGTGTTGATGCTTCCATATATCTGACATCACTGAATGGCCAGGGTGTTTCTGTGTGATGGGTGATGGATTACATTGGTTTCTGCCTATGATTTTTAGATTTTGAACATGTAAGCTCTTTAAGTGTCTTTTTACAATTAGGTATTCAATTCCAAGATGTTGAAAAGATGTAAATACGACAACATTTTACTCATCACTTAAGCATCATGAGTGATTTCTTTACTTCAAACACTGCTCTGTACTTTGATCTTCAGCGGAGACAGATGATGACGTCTTGGAGAAAGAAAGCTGCATCACTGAACAGACTCAATACTTCTTTGCAAACAAAGAGAGAAGCTTCAAAGGAAACATGGAGTGTGCCAACTGCTCCAGGTAAGACAATCATTTACAGCTCATCCACAAGTGAATATGGACATATGGGGAAGAGGACTGGCAGAGGGGGCATGGAGCATGGGGACTGCACAGTCCTCTTTCAATAGAATTTAAATCTCTCTCTCTCTCTCTCTCTCTCTCTCTCTCTCTCTCTCTCTCACCAGGCAGTTCATTGCTGAGAAGCTATTGAAGACCAATCTGGTGCTGATTATTGCAGATGCTAAGGAGAGCTGCAAGACGTGTGATGTAAAGCCGCTCATCCAGGCTGAGCAGCCCTGTATCCTGCGTCAACACACACACACACACCAAGTGCATAGGTTTGGCCTCAAGATTGGTAGGGACACAACCCCCTACCCCCCTGGGGCTGTATACATTGCAAAAGGTCTAATGCAAAACTAATAATAACAGTGCATGTTTAATGTGCAGTATCATTTTAAGACCTAACCTGAAGCCCTGAAGGTCCAGCTGCTTCTCCCTCAGTCTGCCTTACAGCATCTTAACTCAATTTCTAAATTTCCAGTGTGTAATAAAATGATGCGCTGATGAATAAGATACATACAAACTTATGATTAAACCTTGGGTCCCATTTATTTTTGTGAGCAATTTTAAATATTGAATGACTAGGATCTTACGAAGCCAACTGATATGATCATTTCGACCAAATATGTTGACTTTCAAAGGTTATATTTGCTGAACGTCGTAAGACATACTTCAGTGCTAATGTCTCTCTATCATTCCACTATATATGACTATATAATTATGACTATAATTCATAATTACCACCTCACCTAAAACCTTGAAGGTGTACCCGTTTCCTCGTCAGCCGGCTCTACGTCTCTAGCCTGCCGCTGTGTTTACTGCAGTGCATACAAACTAATTCATTAATGGTGACATTTTTGTGAAATTTCTAGACTGAAATTCAAATCCTATTTTAATATGTTCACCCATTTTATGTTTACTGCTGCTCGCAACCTGACTGCGAACCTACAGATGACAGAAGCCAGGGTTAGTTTGCTAGTTAATGCTAGCTAACATGGTTAACTAGTATCACTCTTTCTTGGTGGCTTGATATCTACAAAGCACCAAATGTGCTGGCATGGACAAAATTACGTTATGTGTGCTGTGTAGTTCAGGCAATAGAGGAAAGGGAGTAAGTCTTCTGAAAGATTAAATAGCCACCCTCATTTTTAGCCAAGCAAATGCTAGCATACCTAAATCAATCAAAATATTTCCCATATAGGCAAATGGCAAAACCAGAACATGTGATAATATTGGGCCTCAAGTTATATCAATAAATTCAAGCTACTCAGTGACAGCAACAGAGAGAGACAAATTTAGGTGGTTAGAGACCACCTTTCATTCATTTAATTTTCAGTCAAAACAGCCAATATGTTACTCATTTTTCAGGAGGCATTTCTGAGGAGGTTAGATATAATCACATAATCTACTGCATAAGAATAAATAAAGGAAGGAAGATAAGCAAAAAACTTTTTTTTTTTTTTCAAAATTAGTGTATAACAAAGGATTAAAAGACAAAAAGAAAATGGGACTCCTAACAACTATGCAAGACCTGGTAGATCACCATCAGATAAACAGCACTTAAAGCTTTTATCTTTGAGAGATCAAGCTCCACTCTTGCTTCAGATGCGTATCTGTCATACTTTTGCAATTTTGACTGGAAATTAAATAAAGGGGGAGGAGGGGTGGGGGTCGCTGACTTTTTCACATTACTCTACCACATGTCATTTTTGACATTAATAACACATTCTAAATTCAGGTATTTTGAGTAAAACTGAGATTCACACTACATTTTGGTACTGCGTCGAATGGAAGTGAGTCTCTAGCTAGCTTGCAAATTCCAAATTAGCATATAGCTATAAATGCTACGGTATATGATTTCAGACTACGTGTACTTCTCTATATTCAAGTCTCCGTTCTTATTAAATAAACACGAAGTAAATAAATAAACATTTTTACCGACATTCTGTAGGGTTTGTACAGCCTCACAGCAGTAGCTATGAAAAAAAACACAGCTGAGGGCGGAGCATGGGCAGGTCAGTTCTTAAAATGCTGGAACCACTGTCAGTCTGTGTGATTTGAAACATGGTCTGCTGCTTGAGAGAATTCATTCACATGAGTCTGTTTTGTCTAAGAGCTCTCAGGGACATCGACACAGATGATGTCTAAGAAGGCAGTTTGGAATTTCATTTATTTATCATATTTTATTCTTTTACGTTGCGACTGATGGGAGTAATCAGGCAAAATGAGAGGCCTGTTCAGTGTTTATTTGGTCTTGCTGATTGACACCTATGAATGGGTAAATACGAAGCTTTCAGAACAAGTGTGTTTTTCTGGGTTTTTTTCCTGAACATGTGGTCTCAGCTTCAGGTCCAGACCCCTGCGATATAGCCAACAACCCACGGTACCGGAAAGGTCCGACTGAGTGCTTTGACGACAATGAAAGTGTAAGTCAAACACTGTTCATGATAAATCACTTGCTGTGTGTAAATCAGCCTGCAAGCAACCAAACTCAGAAGCACTGCATGTGCTTGATGTTCAGACTGCTTGTCTTTTACTCTCTGTACTATCTATAACCAGTTAACAACATCTGTCACACAGGAACCTGTTTGGTTTATGAGAATCAGTGGATATCGGAGATCTGATAGCGTATATTGAAGGAGACAAATGTCTGTGTGGGGAGAAGCCTTCGCTCTTCAGCAGGTCTCTGTGTGACAGATCTCTGTGCTTGAATGCTTGGTCTCGACAGTTTTTCCAGTTTCATGTTTTATTAACTTTGCTTCACACTCCTGCACACACGTTTGCACACTCGTTCTTTTTCCTCTTGCTTAACTGCTTCTTCCATGCACTTCTTCACACTTTACTCCGTGCTCTGTTTTTGCTGCATGACTATCTCTCTCTCTCTCCCTCTCTCTCTGTCTCTCTCTCTCTGTCTCTCTCTCTGCTGTGCGCTGGGCTGTGTAATGTGTGTTAGGATGAGGCCGTGTGTAGGAGAAGCGCTGGCTCTCCGCTGCTCTCCTCTCTGCTCATGTTACTGCTGCCAGTGTTCATGTGCTGTCTCGGGTCAGTCCATCTCTCTCTCTATCTCTATCTTTCTTTCTCTAACTCTCTCTCTCTCTCTCTCTCTCTCTCTCTATCTATCTATCTATCTATCTATCCCGCTTTCTGTCTTTCTGTCTCTATTTCTCTGTCTCTCCTTCTTACTATCTCTCCTGCTTTCTCTCTCTCTTTCTCTCTGTCCCACCCTCTTCCTCTTTCTTATTCTCTCTCTCTGTCGTTCCCCCTCTCTCTATCTCTTCTTCTATCTGTCATTCCCGCTCTCTCTTTTTATCTTTATCGCTCTCTCACTGTGTCTCTCTGTTACCCTCACTTTCTGTCTTCCTCCTTTATTCCTTTCTCTGTCCCTCTTTCTCACTCTGTCTTCCCCTCCAATTCTCTCTTTCTGTTTGTCTATCTTTCTTTCTCTCTATTTCTTCCTCTCTCTCTCCTTCTTACTATCTCTCCTTCTGTCTCTCTTGCTTCCTCTCCCTCTTGATCTCTGTCCCACATTCTTCCGTTTTCTTATTTTCGCTCTCTGTTTCACCTCTCTCTTTTTATCTCTTTCTCTTTCTGTGTCTGTCACCCTCTCTTTCTGTCTTCCTCCTTCATTCCTTTCTCTCTCCCTCTTTCTCTCTCTGTCTTTCTCTCATTCTCTCTCTCCCTCCTTTCGTTGTTTTCTTCTCTCATTCTTTCTCTTTCTCTCACTCTATCTTTCAATTTCCCTTCTTCTCTTCTCCCTTCTTTCTCTTTCTTTCTTACTTTCTTTCTTTCTTTCTTTCTTCTTCCTTAGTCATAGATATTTACCTTCTTTTTTCACCTATATCTCTCTGTTAAGCCGGCAGTGTGCTTCAAATGAAAACAGTGTTTCAAAGCAAAATAATGTTTTTTTGTTGCCAAAACAATGCAGTGGTTTAAGCTCATATGGTGCGTGTTTCGCTGAACAGAGCTCCTAATCACCACCTCATTTGTTCTGAGACTCCTCCTGACTGTGATGGATCCAGTGCACGAATCGGCTTCTAGCCTTTAGTCTTTTAGGTGCATTTACAACAGTGTGTTTGGCCGTAGTTCAGTTTAGTTTGTTTGTCGTTTGAATTACACTGTTGGCTTTTGTCTCATTTGCTTACATTTGCACGAATCCGACTAATAAACTTAACTTAGCGCTTCTTGGTTCCAAACCTTTAATCTGCTCTATTACCCCAACTCTTTACTATTGACAGATTAATTAAAACCTTAATGTTATGGTCTACATTTAAAAGATTTGATGCCACAGACATTCAGCTATGCTATTTAAAAATGTGTCACAGTCTGTAACCAGTATTAGGCCTCAGTATACATGCTGTCATGGGAGACCCTCGATGTGACTTGCTTACTCTGTCTCACTCTGGATAAAGGAACAGGGTGTGGACTGTGGCGGGGCGTCCGGTCTGATTCCACCCGTTTGGCTCATGGCCATCTTTCAGCTGCTGCTGCTCTGGTGCCTGAGTGGACTAGGATGCTGCCCATCGTGACCTCAGCCTAGAGACGCCCCCCCCCTTGATGACGCCAAAATCCTTGACCGAATCCTGCCACACAAGTTTTTTTATTCGAATCCTGGGCACCAACGTGCCTGGTTACGACGAGGAAGCCTTCGACCCAGGAAGCAAAGACTGATGAAGTGTTCGCTCATTGCCTAGAAGTCACGGTGGGTCAGCAGATGACAAATGAGCTACGACCTTCGACCTTTGACCTCTGAGGCCAGTCTCGGCCCACGTGGGCAACAGGGTGGACAGCCTTACCTTTACCCCAGCAAAACAGAGACCCTCTACCCGCATCCACCTACACCAGTCATGACTGATATCATCACTGCCAAATACACTGCTCTCTCCTCTGCCTGTCTGTTTTGTCAATTTTATAACATCTGTTCCTTTTCTTTGGTTTTCTTGAGCATCTCATAGAGGCTAGTTGCTCAGTATTATTAATGTTAATGTTTTGTCTTCATGGGCCCATGTTTTTTAAATTTTGGCCATCTGGTTGGACCGTAGAGTAAACTGGGTCCATGTCCATTTCAGAAAAGTTGCTGAAAAAAGTGGTCGAAACACTGAGGTCCCAAAATAGACCTTTGAGGAAGTGCCATCATTTTGCAGTTTGCCATTAGCATCTGGACAAGCCCCGGGTCTGAACTGTTTTTGTCTGTTTAGAAAAATAAATGACATTTCTTGGAAAATCCCTGTGATGCTCTATGGTTAGCCGAAGAGTCCAAAGCCTATACATTTAATCCTTCATAGATTTTCACCCCCAAATTTCACTGTGTAATTTGAATTATGTGGTTGTCAAAGTTTCTGTATAATTAAGTGAAAATGATTCAAAGTAGTTTGATGTGAAATGGTACATTGTAGAGAAACTTGCCAGTTTAGGTTTCTTTACAATGGTGGCGATAAGAAATGGGTAATGATGATAACAGAATAAATATAACCGTTTAATTTATTATACAAAATCAGTGAATCTATAAACTCTCAGAAAAAAGGTATGAAACTAACCGGGGCAGTACCCCTCTTGTCACTGGGGTGGAACCCTCAGTACCTTTTGTCAGGGAACATAATATGGTACATCATATGTACCATAATCCTTTGAAATTATATTGTCGTGTATTATAAGTTGTATTGACTCCACACACCCCCTCTCGTCTCTTTTTAAATGATCAGGTTTTGAAAAGGTACAAATATGTACATTTCACCTGGAAAACTTATTTAAGGTTCACAATTGGACTTTAAAACCGCTGCTGTACCTTTGAGGGCATATTTACATTGTTTGTACCTTGATGAATGAAAAATGTACCTGCCCAGAACCTTTATTTCTAACAGTGTACGTGTCTCCTAGATTTTTATATGTTGAGAATAGAAAAATGGAGGCAACACTGAATAGAAAAAGAAGGCTAAAATATTAAACTCACCAGACGTCTGGTTCCTATCACCACCACTGTGAACAATTCTGGCTGTACGTTTCTCTAGAATGGAGGATTTCACACCAAACCACTCTGAATGACTTTGTTTACATATTAATTATATAATTATGCAATTGGAAGAATTCCCCTTTAAGTAGTCTGCATATATGTGCAAACATTCCTGTGTGTTTAATAAAACTGGCAGCCAAAAATACCATGAAACCCAAACCAGCAAGCTTCATCAAGTGTAGTAGTTCTGTGTCTTTGTCAGTAACAGGCTACAGTTTGAGTAGCTGGTGTTGTTATATAATAGTGCTGATTTTAGCCTGGCTTTGATGTAACTTGGTGATGTCAGTTCAATGCACAAGAGTTTGTTAACTTGCTTTTAGCATATATGACCTTAATAACCTCACAATTCAGAGGACTCAGTGACATGCGGGGGAATATGTACGCAGGACAAAAAGTGTCACGTTTGTGACTTTTTTGTTTGTCACAGCAGCTGTTTTCAAAAAAGCTGTTCATTTATCCCCATAGGGAAAAATGGTTAAGACCCAGAGTCCTTATTTGGACGTCACTGACTGCAAAATGACACATGACCTCAGGGGTGTATTCCCTAGTGATGTCCACCTCAGTGCCTGTGGATTCTCCTGTTTTTAACCAGTAGCTTATTGCTATGTCCTCCATCACTCTAGTCATGGCTGTTCTGTAGGCCCTCTACTCCACGGCCCTGGAACAGTTTACATCCACCCACTGTGCATTAATAAGTGCACCTGCCAAAAAATAGCTCCCCGTCCGCCCCCTCTATGTGTGGGCTTGCCATGTAGTTGGTCCACTTTTTATCTTGTCCAAACGGCGGCTTATTGGCTCCAAATTAAAAGCTTGAGGGGTTTAACTGTGTACGGCAGGAATAGCTACACTTATTTTTAATTAATGAGGAAGGGTGTTGTTGCATGTGAGTGAGTTTAGCTATGTTTATTTAAGCAAAAAAAAGTGGAAAATGGCTCTCACTGAAGAGTTTTTGTGCTTGCTACTGTATCTTTATATGTGATACTCATTTTGATCAGAAGAGGTTTTTTTAGATTATCATTAATATGTTTATCCTTTCCAAACTTGTTGAATCCATCAAAAGCATTGTTTATTAATTTGGCAGGAAGCTATTTTAGTAATGTTAAAACTGCTCTTCCAAGGTGTATTTTCTGTTTCTTTTGTTAATTTATCCCTGTCTTTTGGGTTCAAGATGTCTTCTGATCTGAACTGTTCTGTCTTTGCTGTGTGCCTTGATGTGTTCACACCTTTTGAAATGGTGGAAAGGTATTTCTGAGAGGCGCTGGTTTCATTGTTTACTAATAGAGTTGCATAATGTTATGCAATGGAGCCCAGCCCTGGAAATCTACTGCGCTGTTTAGTGTTTTGCACCATCCCTAACCCAACACACCTGCCTCTAATATTCACGTGCTTAGAAGACCTTGGTTAAGTGTGCTAAAGTACGCTCCCTTACGTTATGAATTCTTTAAGAAAAATGCCTGATAGGTCATAAAAGCTACTTCAGATTCTTTAAAGCATACACACTCTGATGTATGTAAAACAGAGGACATTGCATAGAATCACCAGTAGCAAACATGGCTAGTTTATAATACATGAAAATATTACACCTTTATTTTAAGTAACATAATGAGACGAGTTGTTTTCTATGTAATTACTGTGCAATGTAACCACCTTCTAGTAATTTCAGTGGAGGCAGGTTACAGTATGTAGTCTGACCATTGGGATTCTGACTTAGTACTAAATCTAAAGATTCTGGCTGGAAAACTGCCAACCTTTAAGAGATCTTACGGTGAGAATAGTAATGCATAGTAATTACTAGGTTTAAAAGCATGCATCATTTCCACATGAATACAGTATAGTACATCATCACAAGTAGGTACACTGAAAGACAGAACTGTGTTGATGTATTTTATCTATATATTTATGTGGAAGTGATGTACACATTTGAACTCACTATGTCCATCGCTTTACTTTTTTTCAATGAAATTAGATCTGTGTGCCTCGAAGAACATAGGACCAAACTCTGGAATCCATGAGGTAATCCCAAACAACAGGAGTAAAACCATAAACAAAGGCAGTTTAACAAGATTACTGTTTATTGTGTGCATGTTTCTAGAGAACGATTAAAAATGACAATCTGTAGCAAGTCACTGGATAATTCACAATTCAGTTGTTGCTTTTTTCTTTGGGTTTGTGTTTTTCAACAGGGAAGGGAAGCACTAAATGCCCAGCTGTTGTATTTTATACTTTATGTAATAGTACTTTGATTGGAATATATGCAGTCTGAGCTGAGACGCCTGCGTCATGTGGATATTCGGGGGTGTTCTTGGCAAAATGTTCTATTTGCATCATTGTCAGACCTGATTTCGGCCTCTTAATTGGCCGTGATAAAAGTTTGGGTTGGCAACATTGATTGCCTTGATTAATTTGGTTAGAAGGTCACTGATGATGCTCATGGAATTCAGCAGAAACAGGCCTTAAAATTCTTTTGGTAGCGTCAGGGGCTTTTGATGCACCATTTCCTGTGGTCACTGGAAGATGTGTCGTTAATGTGGCGTGCACACGATTGAGCAATGCGGTGTTGCCATCAATGACTGCACTGTAATTAGGCATGCCTTTTTGAGTCATGCTGCGTAAATCCAAGTTTTCCATTCTCCTGTGTTATCTGTTATCTCCTGAGAGTTATGGCGAGATAAGCTTGATTACAAGAGTGCTTAGAATTATTCAGTACTTTGTTAGAAATAAAATAACAGGGTGCCAAAAAAAGGGAAATGTGGGAAATTGTAGTAAAAGAACAGAACATCTGTTGACTCAAAATTTTTATAATAGACGTGTATTCGATCCTAAGTGTCAATGGATATTCTGCTCTTTTCTAAATACAGGGAAGAATTATTGTCTATAGTAAATCAGCCGTGCAACACAGTGAGATTAGGTTAAAAAAATGCTGGAGAGTTCCATTAAAGAACCACCTGATGAAAGGTTCTTTAAGGAACAGAAGATACTTCTCCAAAAACTGTTCTGGCACCTTTAATGATATTTGTATGATTATTGTTTTTATTTTTTATTATTCCAATCATCTGCCAGACTATGATTATACAGAATCATTGCATCAGACAATACAACTCAAACCAGCCCTCATACCATATCGGTGACTGTGTAACAGTTAAATTAAGATTCAAAAATCGAGATTCCATATAAATTTGTTTCATCAATGTTATGTGTCAAGATCATACTATAATAAAGCATCGACTCTTCAGGTCCTATATCTACTGGAGATCAATAATAGTAAGTGCCATATAACTCTCTGTCTCTTTGTCTAACTCTGTCTTTCTCTTGCTCTCTTTCTCTCTTTAAAACAAGGAAACCTTTATGAACATGTGATGACAGTAAAACCTTTAAATGCAAAGCTCTTCAAACTTCAGACCTTTTTGATATGCTCTTGCTGGTCTGCATGTAATTGTGATGGCAGGGAGAATACTGTGTGTGTTTGTGTGCTCGTGCACGCTTTTACCATGGTGTGCAAATGCGATTTTGAGATGTTTACTGCTGTTGGTGTTCGACAATGTTAAATCACTTGGGTCTCAATTTCACTGCCTTTCTCTTGGGGAGACAGCATTTGGTTAGGACCCTTCCATAGACAAATTCATCAGTGTGGAGGCCAAGATTTTTCTGAACAGGAATGGTCCACAAAACTTGTAGAATCAAACATCCAGTACCCTAGCAGCAAATCTAGTAATACAGGAATGGGCCACCAAGCTTGTATTCCACTCAGCTAGTAACCCAGGAACAGTCAACCAAGCTTGTACGTTCAAACATCTAGTACGCTAAGAGAGGTCCACCAAGCTTTCAGGTTCAGACAGCTATTAACTTAGAAACAGTCCACCAAGCTTTCAGGTTCAGACAGCTATTAACTTAGAAACAGTCCACCAAGCTTTCAGGTTCAGACAGCTATTAACTTAGAAACAATCCAACAATCTAGTAACCTAGGAGCAGTCGACCTAGCTTGTCCGGTCAAACATCTAGTAATGTAGAACCATCCACTAAGCATCTGCTGATGGAGGAACAGTCCATCAAGCTTGTAGGTTTAAACATATAGTAATGGAGGATCAGGCTACCAATCTTGAAGGTTCAGACATCTAGTAACAGAAGAACAGTCCACCATACAGTTTCAAACACAAAGTACGCTAGGAACAGTCCACCAACCTCATAGATTGAAACATCGTGAAAGCTAGGCACAGTCCACAAACATTGTGTGGTCAAACATCTAGTAAGTCCACCAACCTTGTTGGTTCAATCATCTAGTGATGTAGGAACAGTCCACCAAGCTTGTGAAGTCTGTTAACCTGGGAACAGTCCACCAAGCTTGTCTGGTCAAACATGTAGTAACGTAGAAAGAGTCCACCAAGCTTGTGAAGTCTGTTAACTTGTGAACAGTCTGCCGAGCTTGTAGGTTAAAACATATAGTAATGTAGGAACAGTCAATCAGTCTAGTAACCTAGGAACAGTCCACCAAGCTTGTGGAGTCAAACATCTAGAAACCTTGGAATAGTTCACAAAGTGTGTGTGTTCAAATGTCAGCTGCCATATCTGATGAGATCTGTAGACAATAAAGAATTGGGTACAGGGTATAATGTCTTGACTAAAATGCTTTAAGAGACATTTAGATGGCCCTGAAATGCTGCTTAAAATTAGGGAAGGAGAAAGACCAAATTCACCACTGCTTTCCAAATGAAAGCAGAGGGATTTTACCCTTTTGATGCAATTGTTTGCAAAAGTGCCGCAATCACATGCTGTCACCTCAGGAACAGAACAATTGCAAAATGTTACTGAACGTGTTTTGATGCTGACGGCATTGGTGCTCTTTCTCTGGGTTTTGCTTTTCCTGGACTTCTCTCTAAAGATTCTCTAAATCTATTTTTAGTGGAATGTTCCACTCTGCTTCCATCCTTCAGAAGGCTGTTGACTGGCATCTTTGCCAATAGTTGCTGAATGCTGATTGCCCTTAAAACAGAACATTATCCAGTCTGTCCATCAACCTGTCTTGACCAGCCTCCACAGGCTAGGTGATCGCTGGGCTTCTCGTCCGTCTCTGTGCTGTAATACATTTATCTTTAATTTATTCATTTTTGGTTTGCCTGAATCAAATGGTGTGTACATTTGTATGATAATGTTATACAAAAAAAGAACTATTTATAATCCCAGAATTGTGTCAATTCATGTGCAAATACTAGTATATTCCAAATAAAAAGGTTTATCATTATTAGCTGAGGAGCTGTGTGTGTTACTGTGAAGCTGCAGTGCTGTTATGTAGATCTCTGCTTCTCTTCTCCAGCTCACATTGCTTCAGCTTGCATTTGTCCTGCTGCCAAAACACATTTCCCCCCCTGAATGTGCGTGTGAGAAGGAAGCCAGGGTCTACAATCTCTCCCCTGCGGCACCGTCCAGTCATCGAAGGAGAAGACTGAGGCCAACCACAACACAGCCACCATAATAGAGAAATCTATCCATATAATCATATAAGTTGCACTGATTATCACACCGCATCATTAGTTCTATTGAATTTAGCTCTTTTGTTTTGTGAGCAATGGACACCCACTGCTTGGAATGTTCCCTGTGCCACTCACAGGCCTCTGTAGGTGTAATATTAAATGGATAGTTCTGTGAAAAATCAGATTTATACAGTTTTCCCCCTTACTCAAAATGCAGTCAATCAGCCAAGACATGTTTGGTGTCTGAAGTTTGCTTCTTGAGTCGTGCACTGGAGTTATGTGGGTAATATAGCTAACAAGTAATGGAAGCATTTATCTCATTAATTAGCATCACGCAAACCATACTGACTTGTTAAAGAGCCCATATCCTCCATACTTTTATATTATATTATATATGCATATTGCTGTTGTCAGAAGAAAACCTTGTATCTCCATTTTTGTTGTTTTTCAGTTTTTGACATAATTTGAAAATGCCTGTTGCCCTTTACACTGTGTGTAAAAATCATGAAGAATGAACCAAAAGAAACGGCCCAAAATGGTTCCATTGACTTCCTCTTGCTGTAAAGTTACCATCTTGGAGATACAAGATTTTCTTCAGACAACAGCGATATATGTATATATATTAAATATACATATATAATGTGGGTTCATGTACCAAAAACGGCCAAAACTCATTTTCCCAGTCTTCCTTTATCCCATAGAAGTAAACAAGCTGTTTTGGTAATGTCGTGAAGACTGATATATGTAAATGACCTGTTATACACTGTGCCTAATTCAGAAAACAGTTCAAGCTGAAACACATTTTTATAAGTTGGTGTGAATGGGCGGGGCTAAACTGTTGTAGGCTGAATAGCTTACAAACTACATCAAACATCAAACCTTTACTTCCAGAAAGTTAAAGTAATCTCAAATAGAGTTGTTATATGCTTTCTGACACTCTAGAACATAGTTATCTATAAAAATGGACAAAAGAATGAAGAAAACTCAGGCTTTAAGATGGCTGCTGCTACTGTTTTTAGCTATGTAGCATAATTTTTTCCACTTAAGTCTGCACAGCGCTTACAGATAGCATCCATTACTTCCTGCTTCCCCAAGATGGTCAAGCTGGTCGACCAGCATACCGTTGTCCAAAACACGACATATCCTGGTTTTGATGGTGATCAGCCATGCTGTTCTATGCTGTTTTTTGTAGCAGGGTTGTTAGCTACATTAGCCTCATAGCTCCATTACAAAACTAACGAAGCAAACTTCAGACACCAAAAATTCTGTGACTACACTTGGTGGTAAGGGGAACATTGTGTCATTTTTTTTACTGTCACTTTAAGAGGTTCAGTAGCTCAGCCTCACCTTGGAGTTGATTGTGAAAGCAGCTGTAGACGAGCAAAGATTCCACTAAAAAGCAGCTCCCATCATCTCCTCTCCTGAGAACAAGTCCCGTCAGCCTGGTACACTGTTTATTACCGACATTAAAACAACTCCTTCTGCTGGATATGATATAGTACATGGCTGTGAAGGGCTGCTTAAAGCTATATGGAGCTCAGGGACATTTCAAATAGGACCAATTACAAAACCTCCAGTACTTGCCTTTAATAAAAGGGCCTTTTTTGTGTTTGCAGAGTGGCTGGGGGAACTACTACGAGGACACACAATATGAAATTACATATTTTACTGACTGGAGGCAGGAAATTGGCCATAATATTAACGGCCAAGGTATTATTAAAAGTGTCAGTCTTCTCCTGCCGCCCTGTTCAGAGGAGAAATGTAAAATATCTAGTGGACTGTAAAGCAACGCCATAAACATTTGATTGTGTGTCATGGTATGCATTAAAAGTGCAGTGGTCAGTGAGTGGTATGGAGCAGGTGTGGGTAGAAATAACTCGCTTAAGTGCCGCACTCACTGTAGGCAGCACTGAACAGAGTTCAATTTATGTTTCACTACTTTTTTAAAAGCAGTAAAGTGACTGTTGTTGTTTTTTTATTTCTGGAAAAAGTGAAGGGATCTGTACTTTAACGTAAAAGTACATTATTAAAATTAGCATTTAAATGATCACAAAAAAGTCCTTAACCATCTTATGGTAAAATGGTGATTTTGTCTAGCCTCACTGACATTGAAATTCTCTATTATATATATTTATTAAAAACTTTCAGTAACACCAAAAATACAATGTTATTTTCATATGTTCCAAGTAATTTAATGTTAAAATAATTATTTTCTCCCTAATATTTATTTTCACAAAAAAGTAATTTTAACCTATGTCACATATTTCATGCACAACCCTGTAACCTAAACCTGTTCTCCCTCATAAAAAAATGGAACTTGATATTATGATGCAACCCCATTTAGAAAAAGTTGGGACTTTTGCAAACATGTGCAAAATGTAAATAAAAACAGAATACAATGATGTGCAAATCATTTGAGCCCTATATTTAATTGAGAACAGTACGAAGACAAATCAAATGTTGAAACCGAGAAATTTTACTGTTTTTTTTTTAAATGCCCATTTAGAATTTGATGCCAGCAACAGGTTTCAGAAGCTGGGACAGGGGCATGTTTACCACTGTGTTTCATCACCTCTTCTTTTAACAACACTCTGTAAGCGTTTGGGAACTGAGGAGACAAACTGCTGTTTTGAAAGTGAAATGTTATCCATTCTTGCTTGATGTAGGATTTCTGCTTCTCAGCCGTTCTGGGTCTCCTTTGTCATATTTTCATTTCATAAGGCACCCAATGTTTTCAACAGGTGACACGTCTGCACTGCCAGCAGGGCAGTTTAACTCCCGGGCTCTCTTACTACAGAGCCATGCTGTTATTATACATGCCGATTGTGGTTTGAAGTTTGTCTTGCTGAAATAAGCAAGGCCTTCCCTGAAAAAGACGTCGTCTGGATGGCAGCAAAATCTGTATATATCATTCAGCATTAATGTTGCCTCCAAAGATGTGCAAGTCACCAATGCCATGTTGATAACAAGCTGGATGGTCCCTCTCCTCTTCCGCCTGGAGGACAAGGAATCCATGATTTTCAAAAAGAATTTCAAATTTTGATTCGTGGGACCACACGACACTTTTCCACTTCACCTCAGTCCATTTTAAATGAGCTCGGGCCCAGAGAGGGTGGCAGCATTTCTGGTTCATGTTTATATATGGTTTCTTCTTTGCATGATAGAGTTTTACCTGCATTTGTGGATGCAGCGATGAACGGTTTTCACAGACAGTGGTTTTTAGAAGTGTTCCTGAGCCCATGCAGTGACTTCCAGTACAGAATCATACCTGTTTTTAATGTAGTGTTGCCTGAGGGCCCGAAGATCACAGCCAGCCGACACTGGTTTTCGGCTTTGTCCCTTGCATACAGAGATTTCTCCATGTTATTTGACTCTTTTAATGGTATTATGTACTGTAGATAATAAAAGCCCCAAGTTCTTTGCTATTTACATTGAGAAAAGTTATTCTTGAATTGTAGCACTATTTGCCTGTGCGGTCTTTCATAGAGTGGTGAATCCCTCCTATCTTTACTTCTGAAAGAAAAAGATGCTCTCTTTATACCCAGTCATGTTTCTGACCTGTTGTCAATTGACCTAATTAGCTGTGAGATGTTCCACCAGGTGTTCTTTTAGCATTACACAACTTTACAAGTCTTTTGTTGCCTCCGTCCCAACTTTTTTGAAACATGTTGCTGGCATCAAATTCAAAATGAGCATATTAAAAAATATATTTCAGTTTCAACATCTGATATGTTGTCTTTGTACTATTTTCATATAGATTAAACATAGGGTTTAAATGATTTGCACATCGATGCATTCTGCTTTTATTTATATTGTGCACAGCGTCCAAACTTTTATGGAAACAGGGTTGTATATATAAGAAGTTACATCTTCTTGTTGTTTTCTGCAGAATGAACATCAGACAAGTATGAATTCGCTTTCTGTTTTCTCAACTTACACAGAAAAAACTGATTTGGCTGCATGAGTAAAACTTGACCACTGAATCCTGTTACTAAAATTATTGTTAGAAGAAAGAATATATATTTATATTTTAACTATAGGCTCCAGCACCCCCCCCTCAACCCAGAAGGATAAGCGGTTTAGATGATGTGTGTGTGTGTGTATTTTTTAAACTTAACAGTTAATTGTAGTTAGCATGCAACTTGTGCACCCTGCCAAGCTAACCTCTCCTGAATTCTAGCTTATTTCAGGGTAAATTTGCAACTCTGTTACTTGCAACCCTGTTACCCACTTTTTTAACAGTTATTTTAAATGAAAATGAAATTAAAATGTACTGTAGTACTGTAGTACATTTGTAAAGAGTTTCAAGGCATAAAATGAACTCTATTCATGGAAAGTGCCAGGTGTCCAATGAATAGCTTTTTCTTGCTTCTTTCCCTAAAAAAATCTGTTGCATGAAAAAAAATAGCTCCAAAACATGCCGTAGCTACAAGCAGTATCTTGATCACGCAGCCGAGCTTATGGACGTCGATGTAGATGTATTTCCATGTGGGCACTGCAATGATTAGGAAAGGGAGTATCTTCCATAGACAGCCCAGCAGAAAAGGAGAAACAGGAGCAGGACAGCATTTGTCCTCTTTTCCCAGAAGACAAAGCCAGCGTACCCACAGACCTGTCATCTCTGTGGCTTGGGTGTTTGTTCTGTTTTATCGTAAAGTGGCACTATGGTTTGAGTTGTTGAAACCATATTTACTTCTCTTCCTTAATGCTTTTGACCAAGAAGTGGCTTACAAATGGACTGTGTCCAAGTTTCTTCCTTTCTCAGCAAATAACA